AAAAGTGGTATTGGGACTAATTTTCTCTAATTAATATTCAAATAATATTTTTTAGGGTTGTTGGGATCGTGTATGTAGGTCGAAACGTGTATTCATTGCTGTTCTTCCAGTGAGAGATTATACACAGGAGCAAGAATTGTAACACGTAGAATCAAAGGCTTATATTAACGTTTCTTAATCAATGGTTAATATCTCTTTAGTTTAACATTAAAAGAGCACAAACAAAAGAATGGAACAAGAGAAAAATTGTGGTATAAAATATTGGGTTGAGAAAGTATAACCACGAATAATTTAAATTAAAGTGCCTCGATTAACTTCTAAAAAACAAAATTCTAATACATACCCACCAAAAAAAAATTAAAGAAAAAAGAGAGAGGTTCTGATATTTACACATAGTTAATCTTCAATCAATATTAAATATGTAACTCACTGGCGGCAGCCGGCTGCAACACTATCACCGGCCATTCCGACACTTTTGTGATTCGAATAATTTTTTTTTTCCTCTCCTTTATAGTTTCTATATAGTATCTATTTATTTCAGCCACATAATTTACTAATTTCTTATAAAAATCTTGTGAAAAGATGCCATGAGAAACATGTGACACATATGACTTTTTCATTACCCCAAAAAATGTTAGGAGGTGAGAAATAAAGAACTAAGAACCACTACGTTCTTCAATAATCATGCTCTCTATTTACGGAACTATGCTTTTCAATAAAAAGGTATTGAGAGGAAAAATATATGGGGGTTTCCAAAAATTCAAGAGATTATTCTGGTTTCATTTAGGGATTTTCTTGTTTATCAAAAACAAATTATTTTCTTAAATACAACAACCGCATAGAAAAATCACAGAAATTGAATGTAACCATGTGATATAGTTGTGAGCCGACAAAATAACAGACATGAGATATAAATCACCATAGTTTTTAATGTTTTTGTCAACATATTTTTAAATATTTAATTAAAAGTGTGTCCTTTAACGATTGTGTTTCTAAACGCTTGCCTATATCGCGAATTAAAAATGTCTAAAAGTCTAAAACCGAAATTATTAGTCTAAAAAGACAGAAACAATATAAAACTGAAAGGAGGATGTTTTTTCTTTCCCCAAACTGAAAGCACTATCGTAAAAAAGTGTGCTAAAATTAATTCATGCACGATATCGACTTAAAAATTAGGGAGAATTACTCAGATGTTATACATTTTATATGAAATTACCAAAAACATACAGATCTTTTTTTTATTACTATCATATTTCGGATATATTTTTTATACCCAGCGTGCCTCTGTTAAACGTTATAGGAAAAAACGTAATTACAAAGAATGCCACTGCCACGTCAGCAAAGCCGCGTCGCCACGTCAGAAATCGCTGACGTATATTAATGAACTCAGCCGTCGAGCGATATAGCGGCAGTGACGGCTGAGTTACGGTATGTTGCGGCTGATTTAAGAAAAATGGCTGAGTTATGAGCAAACGGCTGACTTACGAGTATAACCCAGCCTGGAGTTACGGCTGACTTACTGAAATCTGTCTGAGTTATGATAAAATGGCTGACTTTCGAGCATAACCCAGCCTAAGTTACGGCTGAGTTTTCACCCGATGGTTGATTTGTCAAATTTTTGGCTGAGTTATTGCTTCGACACGGCTGACTTAACTTTCTCCGGCTGGCTGAGTTATCAAAGACGGCTTAGTTATGGGATGACGTTACGGCTGATTTATGTTCGAGTATCATAAATCAGCCGTAATGACCTGGATTAACGGAAAACTCGGCCTTATTATGGCTGACTTAGTAGCGAAAGATTAATTACTAGAATAGCATGCAATGACGGCCGACTTATTAAACGACACGACTGAGTTAAATATTTTTGGTTGAGTTACGACAGTAAACGGCTGAATTTAGCTGCCGTTTTTTCGTTTTTTAATTACTGTAATAGTATTCATGTTGCGGCTGAGTTAAAGTTTTGTTTGATGGCTGGTTTAATTAAGCTGATTTACATTTTCGTTTGGTGGCTTACTTGCCACTTCATCAATTAAAAAATAACGTGGATGCAACATTCCATGTCATCATTCCATGTCATCATCATCAAAGGACAAAAAAAATAGGGCCAAATTTTTTCAACTCGTCTTCTTCACCTGAGTTTATCACATCACCGGAACTTCCAATTCCTCATCGTCTTCCTCATTCTTCTTCAATTTCTTTCATCCTTCTCCCGATATAGTTGATCCGGTTCCGGTAATTGGGTATAAAAACACAAATACGTATTTAACACCGATGAAAGAGGGTGTAGAGTTGTGCAGATAGATGCGAAAACAACGCACGAAAAACTTGTGAAGTTGGTGCTCGATGATAAAGTTAGAGGAAATGTTGCGTCTCTTATTTTTTCGCTGCAAATTTACATGTCACGGCTGAGTTATATGCTTAAGGGAAGACGAAAGGTTCGGTCAATTACATGTCACGGCTGAGTTATATGTTCCAGGGAAGACAAAAGGTTCGGTAAAATTACATTACGGCTGAGTTATATGCTTAAGGAAAGACGAAAAGTTCGGTCAATTTACATGTCACAGCTGAGTTATATGTTCCAGGGAAGACGAAAGGTTCGCTAAAATTACATTACGGCTGAGTTATATGTTTAAGGGAAGATGAAAGGTTCGGTAAATTTACATGTCACGGCTGAGTTATATTCTCCAGGGAAGACGATAGATGGGTGTAAATTATATGTTACGGGTGAGTTATATGCTTCAGGGAAGACGAAAGGTTCGGTAAATTACATGTCACGGCTGAGTTATCATTCAAGGAAGACGAAAGGTTGTGTAAATTATATGTTACGACTGAATTACATCACGTTACGGCTGAGTTACATCACTTTACGGCTGATTTATAATACAGATCGGAAAGCAACATTTTTTTGGAGAAGACAATATGAAATTTATTGGTCAAATAACAACAATCAAATTAAGATTCGTAAAAATATGTTTGAGGGATACATAGGAGGAAGACTAAACCGTATGAATCAAAACATAGATAGAAGTAGAAATGTCTCCAAATAGATCGATTGAGAGGAAGATTAAACGAGAGACATGTAAAATTAAAGTAAAAGAGTAGCTATTCTTGATTTCAACTCAAACCTGTAACGAATCATGTAGAATTCCATAGATCTCTTTGTTTTGGGTTTTGATTTTTGATGACTTTTTTCGTGAGCTTGGTTGCGAGTAGATCTGACGAAGCTTTTGATTTGGGACCCTATGGCAAGCGTTGTGGCTGTGAGGTCTAGGAAGATCTAGCCCAATCCTGCAATTTGAAGATCTCTGTCAATGTTGTACCCAAGTTAGTTGCAGATTATTAGATCTAAAAGCTTTTCTTGGATTTGGAGACAAAAAAAAAGAGAAGAGGAGAAATGATCTAAAAGCTTTTCTTGGATTTGGAGACAAAAAAGAGAAGAGGAGAAATAACGTGAGTTTGAGGAGTGTGAGATTGGTGATGTGGATTAATGACATGGATAATCAAATTTTTATTTATTATTTTTAATTAAAAACGAATTAAAAATTATTAATTAAAAAAAACTAATGAAGGGTGTTAATTGTAATTACACAAATGCTCAAAACATATGAGTAATTTTTAGAAAATGTATTAAATTCTAGTAATATTCGAACTTTTGGTTAACATCTGAGTAAATATTTCTAAAAATTATAATTGATTTTTTACCAAATTATCTCCTAACAATGCCACGATAATGAAGACCTGCAGTCTATTAGAAGGAAGTCCAATCTTTAATAAGGTTCGTGTTTCATAGAAATTCATAATTTGAAGTTTAAAATGAATGAGTTATGATCGCGTTGTAAATTTGTTGAAGTGTATGACTTGATGATAATCTATGTTTCTAAGAATGGGTCTTAAGTTCAGGTGAAGTTTGATCTTCTCTTTTCTATAAAAACTAAACTGGAATTTTAAGAAATCATAGTTGGACTTAAACTTTTAACAAAAAAAACTTTTAAATTAGGTCCAACATGAATACTTGGAAACTTAATTTGTGATTTCTTATGATATTATTAACTACTATGTGTAGTTTAAAGTTCATTTGTTTAAATTTGAAAAAAAAAAAACTGAAAACCGAAAGCCTGCTCCAGTAACGCTAACCTTTGTAATTTGTATAGCGTTTCTTTCCGGCTTATTTTTTTTTGTTTGGCAGCAAAATTTCTTTCCGACTTTAATCTTTAATTAGTTAATTACTTAATTTCAACATAAAACTAATGCAACAAATACAGGTTGGATAATACGAGATAATGATGGGAAAGTCGTCCTTACGGGTTGCGCAAAGCTGCCGGCAGCTACGACACCTTTACAGGCGGAAGCTCTAGGATTCTTACATGCTCTTCAAGTTATCTGGACACACGGTATGCGTCAGGTTTGGTTTGAGAGTGATAATCAGGAACTAACCTCCATCATCAATAACTGTGAGGATCACTGCTTTACGATATTCGCCATTGAATGGAAAAGCTTCCCCTTTCATCTCTTGCTCATGTTAATCGGGAAAGAAATAATGCAGCAGATAAAATGGCTCAACAGGTTCTTACTATTACTTCTTTGTATCAGTCGTACTCATTTCTTCCTGCTTTCTTAATCCCTTTCTTGTATCAACCTTATACCATCTAATAAAGTCTCAGTTGTTAAAAAAACAAAAAAAAACTAATGCAACAAATGACGTGGGCCTATTGATGCCTACAAGTAGACACATCAAATACACATATATATTCGCAAATAATCAATATACTCTTGCGTATATTTGTACAAAGAAGTTCCTTAGAGAAATAAGATCTTTTTTTTCTCCTCTCTTATAATGAACATAGACATAATTTCATTAGAGAGGAGTTTTATTTGACCAATAATAATATATCTTGAAAAGTACCCTACTTACAAAAATCTTATTTCGATAATATAAAATCTTTTATGGTTTGTTAGATTAATTTGTTTATTGATTTTTTGTCAAGATTAATATGTTTATAGTTATCCAATAAAATCTGGCTAACAAAACCCAAAAAAAACAAAAAAAAATAGTTGAGGAATAAAAAAAAAAAGAAAAGTGAATATAATAAGAAGAGAGGAAGCAAAGAGAAGTAGCGTCCTCTCTTCAATTTCAACCGGCACTTTCTTCTCTTCTTCTTCTTCTTCTTCTTCTTCCCAATCTTATTCGTCTCTTTACCTACACCTATATATATAATATCTCTCCTTCCCTCACACACAAACCTGCACAGCTGCAATAATCTACTTCCCCTTTTTTAACAACGAATCGGAAGATTCAAGCGAGAAATCGATTTGGTTGTCTCTGTTTTTTTTTTTTTTTTTTGTTTGGGAAATTGGTGATTGATTGGATGGTGAGAAGGCAAGAGGAGAAGAAGGTGGAGAAGGGAATGCGTCTGGGTAAATACGAGCTTGGTAGGACGCTCGGCGAGGGTAATTTCGGTAAAGTAAAATTCGCTAAAGATACCGTCTCCGGTCAATCCGTCGCTGTTAAAATTATCGACAAGTCTCGTATCGCCGATCTCAACTTCTCCTTACAGGTTTGCATTCGATCTCAATCTCTCGATATATCATTTCTAAATTTGTAATTTTGACGGATCCAATTGTTATGAGCAGATCAAAAGAGAGATCCGGACTCTGAAAATGTTGAAACATCCCCACATTGTTAGATTACATGAGGTCCGTCTCTTAATCCGTTTAAATTTTGTGTATAATATTTTTTGGATTATCGAAATTAGTATAACAAATTTTGGATTATTCTTCTGTTTGTTTGCTTGCGATGTAGGTTTGTGTTTATTTAGTACCTGAGTATGACAGAAAGTAATCGAATTATTTGCTGCTTATGGATGTTTATTCGAAATTTGATTTGTCATTTAGATTGTTAGTAAACTATTTTTAGTTAATATCTTCATTGTTGTTTCTTTATCTATCAAATGGATTAAAATCTCGAATCTTGTTGGATAATTGTTGTTTCCTTTCTGGATCTTCTTTTTGACTGTTTAGGAATATTCTTACAAGAAGTCATTCGGTTTTATCACTTAAGAAATTGTATAATCTGGTCTTCGATGTCGTACCCAAACATGTTTGCTTTACCTTGTTTTTCACGTTGCCAATTAGCCGCACCGTTTTACATAGTTTTTAAGTTAATGATTCCATTATTTGATACGGTGGCTTGGCCGGTAACACAAATCTGACCTGTTCAATTCCAAGGTGGGTCCGTCCTAAAAAAATTATCGTGAAAAATGCAGAATATGTCGCTTGATCATCATAATTGCCTAATCTTAGGACCCTTTTAAGCTTTTATCATGTGGACCCTCTTTGATCTTATGTATAGTTTTACTTTTTTATTTTGTTTTATTCATATAGTATTATTCAGATTATTTTATGGGTATTGCTTGCAGTATCTTTGAGTTTTTTTTTTTTTTTTTTAAATGGAGGACGTTTATTGTTGACTTCTAATTATTTCAATTGCTTTGCCATGTTACACGAGATTAATCTTGACTTTTTGGTTAAGCAACCCATTGCCATTGTGGATCTTCACATATTCGATACACGTGGTCCACTTTTTAAGCTCGTGACTAACTCTGTCGTGTTGTGGTTGCCTATGTGTTTCTTGTAAATTTTGGACAGCTAAGTGTTTAGGGAATCTGTGGATATGAATGCAAGTCCAATTTTAATGTTCCTTTTCTTTTAATGTTCTTCTTGTGACTAATCTTTTGTTATCATGCAGGTATTGGCTAGCAAAACGAAAATTAATATGGTAATGGAACTTGTTACCGGAGGAGAATTGTTCGACAGAATTGTAAGACCCCTACTAGCCTCTCTGCTCTAAGCAAAACTTTTTATTTAACGAGTGTCATTTTAAGCTAAACCCACACTCTGATGATAACTCCCAGGTTTCCAACGGAAAATTAACAGAAACTGATGGAAGAAAAATGTTTCAGCAGCTGATCGATGGAATCAGCTACTGTCACAGCAAAGGTGTTTTCCACCGGGATCTCAAGGTCTGTGATTCTCTCATTGTGTTTCAAACCATGAAAAACTCTATGGAATAGTGCACTGATGTTTTCCATTTTTTTTCTATATTGCAGCTAGAGAATGTTCTTCTTGATGCGAAGGGACATATAAAGATCACTGATTTTGGCCTCAGTGCTCTGCCTCAGCATTTTAGGGTACTTAGCATATCACAGCAGAAACATATTTGTTGAATCCGTTTGAGTTACAACTAATTTTCTCTTTGGCATTTTAGGATGACGGATTGTTGCATACAACCTGTGGAAGTCCTAATTACGTCGCGCCCGAGGTTTTAGCCAACAGAGGTTACGATGGTGCAGCATCAGATATATGGTCGTGTGGTGTAATCTTGTATGTGATTCTAACCGGATGTCTTCCTTTTGACGATAGAAACCTTGCAGTTCTTTACCAGAAGGTAAACCGCATCTTCTCTTATATATATGCCAATTCAATTCACATTTTGAAGAAAGAAGCTTGATAAAAGATTTGATCTTTTTTTCAGATATGCAAAGGAGACCCACCAATACCAAGATGGTTATCACCAGGTGCAAGAACCATGATTAAGAGAATGCTTGATCCAAATCCAGTCACCAGGATCACAGTCGTGGGTATTAAAGCCAGCGAGTGGTTCAAACACGAGTATGTTCCTTCATCTCCCGATGATGATGACGAAGAAGAAGTTGACACAGACGATGATGCTTTCTCAATCCAAGAGCTCGTAAGAATCTGCCAACCTCACTCTTTATCGCAACTGCATTTGATTAAAGTACAATGTTCTCATTTCCCTGTCTCTCTTTTGAACGGTGTAGGGATCAGAAGAAGGGAAGGGCAGTGATTCACCGACCATAATCAATGCGTTTCAGTTAATTGGAATGTCTTCCTTTCTTGACCTGTCAGGTTTCTTTGAACAAGAGGTAAATAATCTTTTCATACTCTGTTTCAAAGATGTGCTCTCTGCTTGAGACAATGTATAATAAAAAGAATTTATACTTTTGCATCCTCAGAATGTATCAGAGAGGAGAATAAGATTCACGTCAAATAGCTCCGCAAAAGATTTACTGGAGAAAATCGAAACAGCCGTTACAGAAATGGGATTCAGTGTACAAAAGAAACATGCCAAGGTGAGTCTTCACAACATGTTCGTCCTCTTCCTTAGCGACATGGAATTTCAAATGTGTAGAGTTTATAAATAAACTTTAAACTGTATTTTTGTTTCAGTTAAAAGTAAAACAAGAAGAAAGAAACCAGAAAGGTCAAGTTGGTTTATCAGTAACAGCTGAGGTATATTAACTATGACGTAAATAGTATTTTTCGATTATATATTTGACTAATCGAAGAAATTCTTATCATATAATAACAGGTTTTCGAGATAAAGCCGTCACTGAACGTGGTTGAGCTAAGAAAATCTTATGGCGATTCATGTTTATATAGACAGGTATGCCACAATTGTCACTTCTTAATTAGACTTAATGGTTTATTTAGTTTGGATCTCTAAGTACTGAATAAACATATGAAAGATAAAAATGTTTATGTTTGATTTTGGGGTGATGCAGTTGTACGAGAGACTATTAAAAGACGTGGGCACATCCTCGCCGGAGCAAGAGATAGTATCCTAGCTAGTAACATAGGTGTTGGTGTTTTCGGCTGAAAGAGATATACATAGCTCTAATATTTTATCATATGGTACACACCATCCATGTTCATAATTTATCATCATCAGTATATATAAAAGGAGCTCGATTTATATGATTAGTGCAAATAATTGCATTAATTATATCTATAAACCGTGGCGTAGTTCTTATCTCACTACCTATGTATTTGCTCTTTATTTGGTGTGGTAAATCGGCTATTAGCCAAAAAATCCCAAGAAAATCTCTTCATTCTTTTTGTAAATAATATACATAGTATGTTTAGTTTGTATTTGTACATAATTTAATTTCAAATGCGATACACATATAAATTTGTAATATTAAGCTATGTTGCGTGGTCTCATATATTACTGACATTCATGACCTATCAACATTTTGCGTCTTGGAATGTAACAATTTCAGTTTTAGAGTTCATCAAATTCGCAAGCTTGTTGTTGAAAATTTGAAACTTGAATGTAGTGCAAAGAAGCGAAGAATCAAAGAATAACAAGGGACGAAAATAACTATAAAATAAAATGTCTATTCATAGATTAATCAAACTACTTCCACTACAAAAACACTAAGAACAAAAACAAAAAAAAACAAAAGAGGAGATTGAAGAAATTACGTCCTTACCTGTATCGACTAAAACTGAACCAAACTTGGAACATAATCGAAAATAAATGGTTCACATGATATCACACAAGGATTGAACTCAGGCCTTTCTCCAAAATGGATTTCTGTGTATTCACGGTCCTCTCCAACAATGTATACAAGGTTCTTTTCCTCATGTCTGTTACTCTTCTCACAACCCACGGCCATTTTTTTCTCCTTGTCGATGACGAAACTCACGCAAAACGAGAAAAAATAACGACGCATGTATACATCTACCGTAAAAAATTTGCTCCACACCACTTGTTTAGTATCAATCTTATTAGTCATCCATACATCCACCTTTGATGCACGACAACGCGCTGAAGTACCAATGAGAGTTGCTCTTCTCTAACAACTGATAGAGCTATAGTTTTATAATCAAGATTCTGTAAAGCTGGAAGACAGAGGCGTTCAAATCTCTCGGTTGTAAAATCAAAACTGAGTAAGTATAATTTATCGTGGTTCATGTTATCCAAAGCAAGACAATAACCATTTCCCTTCAAAGACATGCCATTTACTAGTAAGACGAAGTTGCAATTGAAATTATTGAGAACCCTCCATGAATCAGAGCTAAAGTCGTAGATTTCAAACTCCACAACTTGGTCGAATAGGGTGCCATCATCCCAACACCTCAAGATTTTGTAGCTTCGGCAAGACTTGTTGTTTCCATATCCAAGGAAAAACATAGACTCTTCCTTACGAGGATAAGCTGCATGACTGTGTTGGATCCACCTGGTTTGACCAGTACAAGGGTTCCAAACCACGAGACTATAGTCCTTGGTGGTGCACAATAATAAACCATCGCAGTGAAAGATTTCAGATACATCGACTTGGTCTGATATAGAACGAGAATCCTTTAGGTCAAATCCGACCTTAAATATTGTAGATGGATCAGCAGCGTTTTTTTCAATCTCAAGGAGATTGTCGACACTCATTGAACAAACTCTATATTCCTTCAACATGAGAAGCATACTCTGTTTTGCTGATTTACGTACCTGCTTCTCGATGAACCTTGAGTTTGGCTTGAAGGGCTTGAATCCTATAGAGTATATCCTCTAACAAATCCCGTGGAAGATCTGACATCGCCATTGTCTCTATTTCCTCTTGTGATCTCTCAGATGAAGTTAAAGAATGACAGAGGCCGACTACACTTAGACATTAGGGTTTTTTTGGTTTTAAAAGTTTGTCATTTGAAACTAAAATGGGGCTTTTCTTAAACATAAGAAAGAAAAAAACCCCAATAAATCTATGTCAACAGATAACTAGGAAATTAGGAATACATATACAGTACAGTATACTATACACATTGATGTCTAAATATTAGATTTTAGAAAAATGGTTTGATATTTAATGGGTTGAGAGACGATCCTCAAGCTCTTTCTTGTATAACTGTATCAAACCTGTGGTATCTTGATGTGGGAGATCATGAAGCTTTTCATCTAAAAGACTCTTGTATTCGTTATCTCTATCTTCCCATTTACGCATGAACTCAACCTGCAAACAGAAATGACAAACCCCATCAATAGGTCACTTATAAAAGAGAGAAAGAAAAATTATATTAGAAAATAATAATGAACAGACTTGTTTCTGGAACGTATAGAATTCGTCTGAACTAAGAGATCCATCGCTGTTAGAGTCAAGAAGCTGCATCATTTCCTCTGCGTCTTCACCTGGAGCTCCAAGCTCTTCCATCACTTCCATTAGTTCCTCTATGCTGATCATTCCGTCCCCGTTTTTGTCCAGAAGGCAAAATACTCTGTCTCTCTGGTTCGTTGTTGTCTTGAAGCTTTGGTGTTTATTTGATGAGAGATCTTTGAGTCGAATCGCTGCAAGATCTGCTGCTGCCATCATTATTGCTTTAAGCCGCTTCGCCTAAACATGATTTAAACAAATAACTCAACCTCCTAAATTTGCCAAACTAAAAAAACACAAAAGTGCTTACCTCTTTTGGGTCGGTTAGACCGCCTTTATACAAAGAATGTGATGCTGTTCCAGCATTAGCAGATCCATCCATATCCATTGTTCGTATTTGTATCTCCATCAAAGGTCTTGTCTGATCGCTGTCGCTAACATCAACCGCCATGTGTAGACTCTTATACCCATTTGCCTTCGGCCTAGCAATGTAGTCTTTTGTTCTATGTGGAATCTCCTTCCACAAAGACCGGATAATCTCACTTGTTCTGTAACAGGCTTTTTCTCCCACTTCAACATCGTTTGTTACAGAATTCGGTATCAATATGACCCGTAGACCAAGCACATCGTTCACTTCTTCCGGTTTACGCCCGTCTCTTAAGAGCTTCTTCATCATACTGTACCGGCTTTTATACCGACCTTTAATATATACATCATCCACCATTTCAGCCAAAACCAAATCAGCCTTCAAAGACAGATAAAGCTGCTCTTTGTACATGTCTATCAACGGTTTAGACCCGTTCTCGTGACCTCTTAACCATGAATCTAAGTATAGATACGAACACGGGAAAAGATAACGGAAAGAGATGTCCTCGAGCTCAAGTGACAGGTGATTAGCCCCAACCGCATGAGCTAAAGGAGAATAAATCTTCAACACTTCAAGGGAGAGAATCTGCTGGCGATATCTTGGCAAGTGATCCAAATGCCTCATCTCATCAAGCTTTGAAACCAAGTCCATGATCACAGCTCTGATGTCATAGTAGGTTAAATAGAACTTTCTCAATGAAGCAGCAGTTTCGTCGTCCAAGACATCAACTTTAAAAGGGATGTTCTTAACACGAAAAATCTCATGAAGCAGATGAGCAGTTCCAGTACCAATCTGGTCTCTAACTTCATATATAGATATCGCTTTCGCCTCCACCACCTCACTCAATATACTCGCCGATATAACTTCCGCATCCATCTACCATTACCACATAATTTCTCAAATATCAGATTATCATGATTTTCTAACATTATGCTTCAATTTCGCCGTAGAATCAGCAGCAAAACCTAATCATCTACACAAGAAACTTTGAAAATTCAAGGAGAGAGAGGAACCTGGAGATCTGCGAGTATGATAGAGAGTGAAAGAGCCTTAGAAAGAGGAGAGCGACCATCAGAGGCAAGAGGAAGAGACTGTAAAATCGGAATCGAGAGCTTCAGAGCTTTAAAGAGTAATCTAGACGAAGACGTCGACAACCAAACCGAATTCATCCTCTCCGTTACTTCGTTGAAAGCTCCAACAAGCTCCACAACCATTTTCCCTCCCGCTGCCTCCGGAGACCGAGCCGTCGATTCAACCGCAGTATCTTCCACCTCTGACCTCGGATTCCACCGTCGACGTCGTCTCTGAATCAATTGGATCGAGTAAAGACGACGATGCAGCAACTGGGATCTGCATCTTGGAATTGGAATCGGAGAAGGACGAATGACAGACATTTGAGAATTTGAGATTTGATTTTGAAATTGAGGCAAATTTTCATGTATCGTTTTGTTTTTTATATGTCGCAATGGATAAGCCACGTAGGATTTTGTTTTCTCGTCCACATATTTATTTTTAAAATAAATAAATTCTTATTTTTAGACTCTCTTGTTGACTTAGAGGGTTTCGTTATCATTTGTCGCCCATCTAAAACCCTACGCAAAAGCCTTCGAGTTCCGGTTTCTGCATCTCTTTCCTTCTTCGTTTAGCCATTGAAGTTAGCTTCGATTCGAAATCATGGCGGCCGTACCGAGAGGCCTCATTTCTCGCATCAATCAGTTTTTATCAATCCGGTCTATAACTCCTTCATCCTCTGAATCTCTACCTCATTGTAGCTTCTTTCTGCTCCGACGATTCAGCTCCGATACTGGGTCGGTCGACGTTGGTGGATCTGATATTATTGGGGCTCCGAATAGAATCATCGAGGCGAAACAAGGTGAGATGTCTCAGAGCTCTAGAAGGACTGGGATCATCGCCGTTAAGTGCGGGATGACTGCGCTCTGGGACAAATGGGGAGCTAGGGTTCCGATTTCTATTCTTTGGGTTGATGACAACATTGTCTCTCAGGTTAAAACTGTTGAGAAAGAAGGCATTTTTGCGTTACAGGTAACTCCATCGCAGTTTATTCATTCCCATTTTGGCCATGTAGTTTGTTTCTTTGATAGGGCTCCTACTTTCACTTCTGTATTCGGATTAGTCTTAGTGGTTACTTGATCAATCGATTGCTGTAACTTTATGTTTGTATGGATTTATTGATGAATTGGGTTTTAGCTTGTGACATCAGAACACTTGCCCTTTCTTTTCTTGTGTCCTCAGAGAATATAATTGTAATAAAAAGAAATTATATACGTCACATCGAATATTATGAAGCTCATGGTTTAGTAATGTGATTGGCATGTATTGTTCTGTTAGTTAGATCGGATGTGGGCAAAAGAAACCGAAGCATTTGTCAAAGGCTGTGGTGGGGCATTTCAGAGCACAAGGTGTGCCGTTAAAGAGGAAGTTGAGGGAATTTCCTGTGACTGAAGACGCTCTTCTTCCTGTTGGTACTTCACTCGGAGTCCGCCATTTTGTTCCGGGACAGTATGTTGATGTCACTGGGATCACTCGAGGAAAAGGTTTTCAGGTGAAACCATTCTCAAGGACTTTAAAGTTTGATATTTTCTTTGGTGCAGATGAAACAGTGTTTGTGCAAAGTAATGGTTGTGTTATTGATGCCTTTTGCTATGTAATTTGCAGGGATGCATGAAAAGACATGGTTTCAGTGGAATGCCGGGATCACATGGTGCTTCATTGTCCCATCGAAGCGGTGGTTCCACAGGGCAAAGAGATGCTCCTGGAAAGGTATGTGTCAAATTGCTATGATTCTTGGGAATTTTCTCCAAGGCAAATGACAATACTGACTTGTTAAATACACTTGAGTAGGTGTTCAAGGGAAAAAAAATGGCTGGGAGAATGGGTGCAGATCAGAGGACAGTAAAGAACGTTTGGGTTTACAAGATCGATCCTGCGAGGAACCTCATGTGGGTGAGAGGACAAGTAAGTATCTCAATCCGAGTGCAAGTCTTTGGCTATGATCTGTCTGTCACAAAACGTGAGCACCATCTGTCTGTCTGTTGCAGGTTCCTGGTGCAGAAGGAAACTTTGTGTTCATAAAAGATGCATGGTGCAAGAAACCAGACATTTCAAAGCTTCCATTTCCAACTTACTTAGCTCCGGAAGATGAAGATCCATCAGAATTAGAACCGTTGGTCGCAGATCTTGGAGAAGTCGACCCATTTATGTTGGCAGAGTGATGAAAACAACATGACCTTGATCTTCATTTTGGCTTTTTACATTTATGGGAGACTAGAAAGAAGCTGTGGAAGTGGAATCACAGAGCTAAAGCTTTTTGCAGATGAAATTAATTGTCTTTTCTTATTTTAGTTGTTTGGATGTATGATTTGAAAACGATTAAATAGAGGAATTTAGGCTTGCTCGCATTTGTTATATCACAATGCTTAAAGAGTTTGCAATAAGCAAGATTTATTATGTTTCCTTTCATCTTCTAAATATATATACTTTCGTATTTACAGAAAAAAAAAAGATTCGGTTTTTAATTCTAACAAGAATCAAGATCCATTTTTTAATCTCCTATATAAGTTTTTCATCTCCCAATAGAATGAAACAGTTGTGTTGAAGTCTCTTCGAGCCCAAAGATCTTGAACATTCTGAGAACACAAACGCTTCTTTCGTCTCTCTCTCTCTCTCTCGCTTAGGGTTACCGTTGAGAGAGAGTTCTTCAATCTCGTTGACTTAGCCATGAATTCGGAACAGAATCAACGCGAATGCATAGTATGCCGTGAAAAAGAGCCGTCGTTCATCCACACCGTCGGCAAAACCGGCGTTTTCCGGCGACTCTGCACCGATTGTTTGCTCAAAGAATATCGTGAGCTATTTTGCTCTGTTTGTTTCAATCTCTTCGACAACGCCGTTCCTCCACAAGCTCGTATCATCTGCGGCAATTGCCCTTCAAGCACCCACCTTTCTTGCTCACCTCAGCCGCTGTCTTCCTCCACCGCCGCATCTTCATCCTCCTCCGCTCCACCACCAGCTTCTTCCTTCACATGCCAGCCATGTTCTAACCCCAATTTCACCTTCTTCCCCAAATCTCGTGTCAATGATGACGTCCCTGAAGAAACGCCTCTCAGTGCGGAATCGGCCATGGCTCTTATCGCAGCTGCAAAGATCTCGGTGGCTAATATGAATAACGCGGTGGCTCTGTTAAAGGAAGAAGCTCTTAAGAAGATCATAGCAGCTAAAGCGGCCAAGTTGAGAGCTAAAGGTGCATTGGCGAATCTTCAGGATATTGTTATTCAAAAGAATAAAGCCACCGGCAAGAGGAAGGAAGATGAACGCTGATTTTCTAAATCTTGACAGCAATTTACTGGTACGTAGGGATTTTGTGTGATATATCTCTCTTCTAAGGTTCAAGAAAAGACTACTTTTTTGCGGTTGTTATTAGCCAACTATCTTGGTGATTTTTAGTTCATTTTCAGACGTGTTTGATCAAATGTCTCACAGAGAAAGCTGGAGACTTTGAATTAGGATACATTAGGGCTTTTATTTTGTACAATGGTGTGTGTAAGACTCAATGACATTCATTCATATTAATGGTTTCCATCTTCAATCTTTAAAAGTCTCTGTATGATTTCAAGATTTCGTCTTGTTTTATGGCTTACTGGTTTGGAGATTTTCATGGAACAGAGAAGGTTTGATATTTTTAGAGTTCTTTAGCTAGTGAATTAGGTTATGATTGGCACATATCGAATAAAATCATAGTACGTTGATGTTTTGGTTTGGAAGTTGTGATAAAGCACACATGGAAGAATTTATCGGAAGACTGTTTGATGATGATTCAGAGTTCTCGAGTCAAGAAATGATAATGCGTTGATGTTTGGCTTGAAAAATGTGATAAAGACACTATTTTTGGCTTGCTTGATTTAAGATTATCATCAATATAAGAGTTTGGAAAATTATATAATTTGTTTGGATTGGTAAAAAAATATGTAAAACTGTTTTTGCAACACGAAAATGGAAAGAGCAAGGTAAGGCATTCCTAAAGTTATGTTTTGCTATATTGGTGAAAGAGCAAAACACAGGAAACGAAGAATCTGCCTGGACTGCGAGAGAGGGTTAATTACGAATATTTCAATTATATAGAGGCTCTTCTGTAATTTTATAAAAATACAAGCCCTCGTTTTGCAAATTCGTTAAAAACGACGAGTCAGCCGAGGCAGAAACCCTAGAAATCGCCCGAGTCGAGTTTAATTCGCTCTATCTCGTCCCGTGACTCGTCCCTTCCTCCGCAAAAACGCTTCTTCAATTCGTAGTTCAAATTCGTCCCTCGACGCCTAAAGATGTGTTCCGACTTCGCTTAAGCTCTACCTCCATTTTCTCCGGTCTAAAAAATCGACAAAACCGGCAAAAAAAATATCGCCTCCGATTACGAAAGTTCTCAGCTTCTTAGGTAAGTTTTAGAAGAAAACCCAGTTCAGTTCTTTGTTCTTCCTTTACAAAATTGATGACAAATGTTGTTTTTAAATCCGTATATGTTGACCACATTTCTTTTCTTTCCTCTTTGTGTTTATTGAATCCATGCATGTTGTTTTAAAGATGTTCTTGTTTTTGTTTTAATGAAAGCACTCTTGTAGATTGAGGCTGCATTGGTTTGTGGAACTGTTAAAGTTTGAAGCTTTTAAATGGTTTAACAATGGCTCCACCTGGATCGATTGGAGTGGTTGACCCTGGATGGGAGCACGGTGTTGCACAAGACGAGCGGAAGAAGAAGGTTAAATGCAATTACTGTGGAAAGATTGTTAGTGGAGGGATATACAGATTGAAGCAACACTTGGCTCGAGTTTCAGGAGAAGTTACTTATTGTGATAAGTCTCCAGAGGAAGTATGTCTGAGGATGAAGGAGAATCTGGTGCGTTCCACCAGAAAGCTGAGGCAGTCTGAGGATAATAGTGGGCAGTCTTGTTCCAGTTTCCATCAATCTAACAATGACGATGAAGCGGAGGAGGATGAGCGGCCCTGCTGGTCTAGAAGAAGTAAGGGAAAGCTAGGCTTGAGTGATGGGAGTCTTCTTCGGTCTTCAGGTTATATTGATCCTGGATGGGAACATGGTGTTGCTCAGGACGAGAGGAAAAAGAAAGTGAAATGTAATTACTGTAACAAGATTGTGAGTGGCGGTATTAACCGTTTTAAACAGCACCTGGCGAGAATACCTGGAGAGGTAGCGCCGTGTAAAAATGCTCCCGAGGAGGTTTATGTTAAGATCAAAGAGAATATGAAATGGCATCGAGCTGGGAAGAGGCAGAATAGACCTGATGATGAAATGGGAGCTTTAACTTTCAGAACGGTCTCTCAGGATCCTGAGCAAGAAGAAGACGGAGCAGATCATGACTTCTACCCAATCAGCCAAGATAGGTTGATGCTGGGAAATGGAAGGTTTAGCAAAGACAAAAGAAAAAGCCTTGATTCAATGAACATGAGATCTGTCTCTGAAGCAAACCCAAAAAGAGTGAGGATGATTCCGTTTCAGTCACCTTCTTCTAGCAAGCAGAGAAGACTATACTCTAGCTGTTCAAACAGAGTTGTATCACGGAAAGATGTCACATCCTCCATTTCCAAATTCTTCCACCATGTAGGAGTTCCCACAGAAGCAGCAAATTCTCTGTACTTTCAAAAGATGATTGAATTGATTGGTATGTACGGAGAGGGTTTCGTTGTGCCCTCGAGTCATCTGTTTTCTGGTAGGCTTTTGCAGGATGAAATTTCAACAATCAAAAGCTACTTGAGGGAGTACAGGTCTTCTTGGCTGGTTACAGGTTGTTCTATAATGGCAGATACTTGGACCAACACAGAGGGCAAGAGAATGATCAGTTTCTTGGTCTCGTGCCCTCGTGGTGTCTTCTTCCACTCTTCGATTGATGCCGCTGATATAGTAGAAGATGCTTTAAGCCTTTTCAAATGTCTAGACAAACTAGTTGACGACATTGGCGAGGAAAATGTGGTGCAGGTTATTACACAGAACACTGCTATCTGTAGAAGTGCTGGGAAATTACTTGAAGAAAAGAGAAAGAATATGTATTGGACTCCTTGCGCAATGCATTGCACAGAACTGGTTCTTGAAGACATCTCAAAGCTTGAATTTGTATCCGAGTGCTTAGAGAAAGCCCAAAGAATCACAAGATTCATTTACAATCAAACATGGCTGCTTAATCTCATGAAGAACGAATTCACTCAGGGACTAGATCTTCTTAGACCAGCAGCCATGCGCCACGCTTCCGGTTTCACCACTCTTCAAAGTCTTATGGACCACAAGGCCAGTCTCAGAGGTCTGTTCCAATCTGATGGCTGGATTTTGTCACAGACCGCCGCCAAGTCTGAAGAGGGAAGAGAAGTGGAGAAGATGGTGTCAAGTGCTGCGTTTTGGAAGAAGGTTCAGTATGTTTTGAAATCGGTTGATCCGGTGATGCAGGTGATTCACATGATCAATGATGGTGGCGATAGACTATCTTTGCCATATGCTTACGGTTACATGTGCTGTGCGAAAATGGCGATCAAGTCTATTAATGGCGATGATGCAAGGAAATACGGGCCGTTCTGGCGTGTGATAGAATACCGTTGGAACCCATTGTTTCATCATCCTCTCTATGTGGCTGCATATTTCTTCAACCCGGCATATAAATATCGTCCTGATTTTATGGCGGTAGGTATGATTATCACTAATTTGAATCAATCACTAAAACTTTCTGCGATTTCCTTACTTTTGCTGTTAATGTGAATGAATCTGCAGCAGTCTGAGGTTGTTCGTGGAGTTAACGAATGCATTGTTAGGCTTGAGCCTGATAATACGCGTAGAATCACAGCATTGATGCAGGTGAGACAAAAATATATCAACATGTCACACATTGTTCTCAGAACCTGAGGTTAAACCAACTTTTTGTTGACATGTTTCAGATTCCGGAGTATACTTCTGCAAAAGCTGATTTTGGAACGGATATAGCCATTGGCACAAGAACAGAGCTTGATCCAGCCGCTTGGTGGCAACAGCATGGGATAAGCTGTTTGGAACTTCAGCGAGTGGCGGTTCGGATACTGAGCCACACGTGCTCGTCTGTTGGGTGCGAGCCTAAGTGGAGCATGTACGACCAAGTTAATAGTCAATGCCAGAGCCGGTTCGGGAAGAAATCAATGAAAGATCTAACTTACGTTCATTACAACTTACGGCTCAGAGAAAAACAGCTGAAGCGACGGCTACAACATGACGATGGACCACCACCGAGTCTTAACTACGCATTGCTGGATCAGTTGCTCCCGGAATGGCTCGTGGCAACTGGGAAGGACGAGGTACTTACTTAAAATATCAAACGCTAAATACCATTCCACTGATTTTATATAATAGGATGATAAATGTAGTTGTTGTTTCTTTGTGAAGGAGGAGACTTTGCAAGGGGAAGAGAGGGCAGAGAACGAAGACCATGAAGACGATGAGGACGAGGAGGAGAACTGTTATAACATGGGATCTGGTAACGTTGACGGTGAAGGTGAAGACAATCTTGATCTTTACGATGATGATCTTAGCGACGATGATTAATTAGTGTCACTTTAGTGCTACGGTTCTAACGAACACTAAATGTATTTTGAATTCTAGCATTGTATCCTTAAATAAATATACATTCGAAAATATGATGAATTTTGTTGGGGAGAAGATAAAAATTAAAGTAATATTATTAGTAGGTGAATTAGTGAAAGTGAAATAATGAATAATATATCCATTAAGTTAACAACGGATATATATGGGACCAAAAAGTTGGCGCCGCGCTGTCATAAGCCAGTTTTTTGTTATTTATTTAACTAACGAATATCTGTCTTTTTGATTTATTTTATTAGTCAAAATGAAAAAAAGAAAAACAATACACCTGACAGCTTCTCTTTCCTTTTTTTTTTGTTTTTTTTTCCGGTTCTTCGACGCCCTCTGTTTCTTCTTTCTTTCATTCTCTCTAAAGTCCTCTTTACCCAGATTTTATCTAAATTTTTTTATGTTTCTATTTTTGGAGATTTAACTTCAGTTTTTGTCAAATTAGGCTTTTGATTTATTTTGGAGAAATTTAGATGCAGTGAGAGGATTTCTGTGTTTTTTTTTTTTTTTTTAACTCTTTAGGGTTCACCGGCTGAGAGAGTAATTCCGGGTTAATTCCGTCGGTATCTATTTTTTCTCCGGCGACATGGCTTCCAATCTTCCTATGAGCCCTCAATTAGAGCAGATCCATGGCGAAATCCGTGACCATTTCCGAGCCCTCGCGTATGCTTTCTCTATCTTTGTTTTTCGTCTTGTTCGATTTCTCTCATTCTCTCTCGTGGTTACGAAACACTTCTGATATATTTTAGGGTATTTGGAATTTTAAGTATCTTATATTGAACTATCAGATGCTTTTGAGTTAATAAGATTGAGTATCACTGAATCTCATTTAGTGGGGGTTTATGTGTGTTTTGCTGAATGCTGATGACAACGAGTAGATTTAGGCATCACCCGAAAGATACTTCTTTTTATGAAATGAAAGATTCACCATTATCTGTTTTGCAGGAATGGTTTCCAGAGGTTGGATAAGATCAAGGATTCAACTAGACAAAGCAAACAACTTGAAGAACTTACTGAGAAGATGAGAGAGTGTAAAAGGTCTATATGCTTTACCATTATGTTCTCGGCGTTACAACATCACTTTTTTCATGTTTGTAAATCTCGGAAGCATTCTTGCTAATTTTCTTTAGTAGTAGAATGTATTATGAGATGGATGTGATGCTGTATAATGAGAAGGAAAGAGTATTGATGTGACAAATCCATAGTTCACTAATCTATATTTGCTTATCTAATGTGTGCTTCATGTCAGGTTGGTCAAGGAGTTCGACCGTGAGCTCAAGGATGAGGAAGCTAGAAATTCTCCTGAAGTAAATAAGCAATTGAACGATGAGAAACAATCTATGGTGAGTTATTATCTTCTATCATCACTGTGTTGATTAAATTCATCCAGGCCTTTCTTTAATTATACTCCAATTTTATGTTTTTTTTTTTGAACTAACTCCAGTGTTATGTATCTGAAGTAAATGTATGAATATTAACTCTTACTAGCACCTTCTTTAAGTTCTATTATGCAGCATCAATCTTATTCAGTTTGTTCAATCTTTAGGTGTATTTGTGACCAAATGGATATATTAAGGCAGATATTGAGTGTCATTGTGTATCTATCGCTCCTCTCTGTATTTTGTATCTGCTACCGTTTTGTTTGTACGGAATTTTTAACATCTGCGTTAACTTTTTCATTGTGTATAATGTTACAGATCAAGGAGCTCAATTCTTACGTTGCACTAAGAAAAACGTAAGTGTTGCTATCATTCCTCTATAAGAAGCTGGTTATTTGAATCTCATACCTGTCCTGTTTGGGGTTTTGATTTCACATCGATCCGTTCAGCATATGTCTATAGGATTCATTTGGCTTTTATGAGTTCATACATTTTACCTTTGTCTTGAATCTCAGGTATATGAGTACCCTTGGCAACAAGAAAGTTGAGCTTTTCGATATGGGAGCTGGAGTTAGTGGCGAACCTACAGCTGAGGAAAATGTTCAAGTGGCTTCATGTGAGTCCTTATGCATGCTTGTCTATTCAGTTGCCATCAAAATATGAGTTTGCTTAGAACATCAAGAGATTGATATGCCTGAATATTAGATTTTCCAATGCGATATGTACTTGAATATGTTAGATTTGTAACTAATTCTCTCTGGTTATTCGTCTGGCATCATTTATGATGTCTGTCAGTAAATGTCTGGCAGATGGTTATATGGTACTAGAAATGTTATCGGTGGCCTAGATGATATCCAAATTGCTAGAAATGTATGATTCCGATAATTTGATTTGGCGCGAAGTAGATTATTTTGGGAATGTAAAAACTGGGGAAGGCTTATGTCATTTTTATCATGTATAGCTATGTCAAACCAGGAGCTTGTTGATGCTGGAATGAAAAGAATGGATGAGACTGATCAGGCCATTGAGCGCTCAAAACAGGTAAGTTACAGAAGGAATTATGTTCCCCTTAGCCTTTGTTACTATATGTCTATATCTATGGTAACATCTTGTTCCTTTCAGGTTGTAGAACAAACACTCGAAGTTGGAACTCAAACTGCAGCTAATTTAAAGGGACAGGTAATTCAAAGCATTCTCCTTCGCTTCCATATTAATCTTATGAGTACAGTCTTAAACAACCTGAAAATTGTGCAGACGGATCAAATGGGACGCGTTGTTAACCACTTGGACACTATTCAATTCTCAATCAAGAAAGCCTCCCAGCTGGTGAAAGAGATAGGGAGACAGGTGCGTAACCTCATATGAACGTAGATTTATCCTTTTTTGCTTGACCTCAAAACCTGAATCCTTGTCTCTACTTATTTCAGGTGGCTACCGATAAATGCATAATGGGGTTCCTGTTTCTCATTGTATGTGGTGTAGTTGCCATTATCATAGTGAAGGTACTGTCATTACTCATGAAAGTTGTGATTGCTCATTAGCAAAGTTGTAACTCTGGTTTTTGTATAAACTCTTCAGATCGTGAATCCGAATAACAAAGACATTAGGGACATCCCAGGATTAGCTCCTCCAGCGCAATCGAGGAAACTATTGTACTTGAGGAATCAAGACTACATGTGAGATTATAAATCTCTATTTGTATATTTATTCACGAGGAATGAGGAAATTGCATCTTGAGGTTCGATATTTTATCTTCTTTCCTTTTAATTTGTTAACACTCCATTTCATGGATGAGAGAGAGGGTTTGGGGCTTGTTGGCATTGTGTGCTTTGATAGTTGCAGAGTCTTGGAGATGTTTATATTCTTTTGCTTTTTAACCCAATTGTTTGAATCTGGGTTTTGATTGGAGGGTGTGTAAATTTTCAGCTTTTGTCTATTTCTTTTTCTTTTTGTTTTGTAGCAACTCATCACTTCTTTTGTATAAAATTCAGACCATGTTATACTCTCTCTCACGTTCTCATTAGATTCTTTTCTTCGTCCTTCTGTAGAAAGTTTCAGGACACAGCTGGAATTTCCATTTCTGTAACTTGGTTAGTACCGAAGAACGTGATGAAGAGTACTACTAATACATTTCTGACATCGAGGGTCTATGAATCTATTGTAACCTCCTTCATATACTCGTCTTGTTTCACCTTTCTATTTACTAGAGAATCGGAAATTTACCTATGAAGACATTGATATAAGAGATGGTGCTCAGAAGTCAGAAAATTGAATCCAGAGTCTGTTGATGGTGGAAGAAATAAAGACTACAAATATATCACTTAAACGTCAATTCACTACAAACGAATTTGAGAATTTTTACGTTTTTAAGCTAATCATTGGTAATAATCTCCGCTATTCTATCTCATAATAAATTTGGAATTTTGAAAGGAGCAACACATTTTTCACCTGATGCTGCTGCAACTTCTTTTTTTGGTTCAAAGATTTTTTTTCTAAGTAACAGAAAAAACGAATTGGGAAGCAAAATGTCTATTATACGTTTATACCAGCATCTTAAGCAGCGTGATTTCCGAGCTGCGTCCGACCAATATGAGACAACCGGGATGTGATCAAAGGGGCTTCCTCGTCGTTTACCTCGCCTCCTACTCTTGGGATCTCCACACTGTCATTAGGATTGAATTTATCCGAAGACTTCTTCTCCATCTTATACTCCTGTGTTGTGTTCATCAGTTGTTACATTAGAAGGAAAAAAAAAAGTAATTTGGTCAACACTATAATTTGCAAGTCTGTGGTTTTTTTTTGAAAGGACGATAATATGACTATGAATCCATATCGGTTAATATGGGAGGCTATCAGGTTTTAAGACCTTATATATGGCATGTTAATGGATTTCTGGGCATCTGAAACAAGCCTGAGATCTGCTAGAGCTTAGAGATCGATAAACTGTTTGACTGACTGACCTTATTTATTCGATCTGGAAGACCGTCAGCAGTTGGTTGAGACGCCTTCACATCCCTTACTTTAATGTAATTGTACATAACGACACCACATAGCGCTGTGTCAAACACATGACAAGAACAAATAGTTATGTGGGCAAAAACAAGTCCAGAAAGAAAATTATATGTTTACAGCATCACATTTGTTGTCAAATGAAGAAATCTACCTATTGCGTATCCAGTGATATTCAACCCAGTGATTGTGGACTCGGGGAAAATGACAGTTGAGAGGGCTATAAGAATCCAGTCTTTGAGAACACCAGCCACCCGGATGGTTACTGCACCTGTTCTCCCGATTACTAAGAATATGGAGAAGTTCAAGGCAAGAGCACATAGGGCATTGGAGAAAAATATCCAGAAGTTGAATTGGATCTGTGAAACTTCCATTGTGGGTTTCTCTAACACATACCAAGGCAAGGCCAGAAAAACAAAACTGCAAAAAAAATGAAGGCATAGTGTGTCAAGGAAAAGATTATGTTATTGTGTGCAGTAGAGGAGATCGAACTTTCCATCTAGCGATATATAATAATACGAGAAAATAATGTAACGTAATATACGTATACAAACTGGAACTAAAGGTTTAAGCAGTATCAATACCTGCATGGAGCTATGTAATACAAGCTGGTAATAGGATTCAATGTCAAACCCTTCTTCTGGAGAAGAACTTGAGTTAGCACCAGTCTAAGTGCTTCAGCAAAGATGCCTGTCACCTGATAGACTGTGCCAACTATATTGAAATGAATTTCCCCATAAGAGGATATCACAACTCCAACACTGACCAGCAACATGTTCGAGAACACGTCGCACCTTGGTTTGTCAGTGCCACACACAACTGCCATGATAAATGTCGCTACTGGCACTGAAAGTCCATAGTCACATACTCACATATTAATATGCTTTGTAAATGAATAGATAAACTAAAACATATTCTGTAACCAAAATGTTAAATCTACACATACTTAGAGCTTTCAGCATCTGAATGAAGGCAACAGAAATGTGCAAATATGCAGTATTGCCAAACCTGCACAGAGGAGAATAAAAAATAGTGAAGAGACAGTTTGGGAAGCAAAGACAACTAGAAAAGACTGAGTTTTCCTGAGCCTGATGGCCAGTAATTAAGAAGCGCATCAATAAATTGTGTTTACTGTCTACAGAACAGGAACTTACCAGAGACTTGATGCAAAAAATGCGCTTATAGGTACCACACAGGTTGCATATCTGGACCCAAAAAGAGTGTCAAAATAGAGAGATGGTGGAGCTTACGTACAAGAGAACAAAAAAAAAAGATGAAAAATATCGAGTAACCTGGCTTACATTTCAAATGTCATTTTAACCGGAGCTACAACCTACAAAACAGAGGAAAAACTTATCACCGCATTAGCAAAAGAGTCTAAGGATCCACAAAGAAGATAATATTATAAAAGAGAGCTCCACATAAGATGTGCATGAGCATACTCCATGTTGTCTGCATTTAGGATACCTTGAAGACGCGAATAAGAAGGAAAGCCACGAATCCAGCAAACCCCATATGGATCATTGTCAGCGTTATAGGAAGTGGAAAATTGAAGTATTTTGGGGATAAAACCCACTGCAAATAAAAGGGACATGATTTAGAAGTCAGACTCTACTCTAACAAAAGCTGAAACAAGATACAGTTATAGTTAGCCCTTGCATATCTAACATCTGACGTTACAGTCACAATACTATCATCCCTAGGTAGACACAGGGAATAGGAAAAACTACTATTCGACATCCTTGCTACAAAAAGGGTTTGGCTATGGTTTCATCTCAGATACATAGAATATAATTCAAACATCTAATCCTTATATCGGAGATACAACCTGTAACATGCAAACTACACATTTCTGCTTAACAATTAGATACATTGATAAAGTATGAAATAGCCTCTAAAAATCACCTTATTGTACAGTATAACTCCTGAAGAAAGTATAATGTAGATCAGCAAGTAGATATAAGTTAGTACAAGCGTCTTGTTTATCATCTTTGCCATTTTCCTCGTTCCCTCACTTCAGAGAAAAAGCAAATAATCTTCCTTTGACAATCAATTTCTTGTCACTGCACCAATACCAAAACACAGCAGGATGAAAACCAGGTGCAAAGGCTCTGTGGCCATTACCTGAAACCCAATAAAAAAAAAAAAGCAAAAATTTTGTCATCCAATGTAGATTTAACTAAGCAATTGGATTCACAACAACAAAATTTTGCCCCAATCACAACCTACGACCAACGGGAGCAGGATAAAATCTAGAGATCACAATCAGAGAAAAAAAAAAAGCGAATTGGATCAGATCCGAGAACGGAGAGAAGAAGAGACATTACTACCTCGAGATCATAAGCCGAGAAACTGGAAATTATCAGCAAAGACAACAAACGCACAACAAATCTAGTAGCGATAGATCAAGACGAACAACACTATCTGATTAAACAAATTCAGGAACTCCAGCAGAATCTGATGATACGACGACGAATTCGTGAGAGCTTCTATTGGAATCAACGAAACAGAGAAGAAGAAGAAGAAGAAGAAGAAGATGATTTATATTAATAGAAAGAACGTAGAACTGGAGATAGCTAGCTACAGTAGTTTTAGTTGGAGGAGAAGGAGATTGGAAACTTTAAATTAATTATATTTTCTCCAGATTTAAAACAATAACTGAACCAAAACTAATTAAATTAAATGGACGGTAGAGATTAATAGGCTAATCAGCAGACTCTGAATCTAACGGTTAGGGTTACATCTCTTGTATGTGGAGCAGTGTTCTAAAAAGCGGTCTAGATTGGGCTTGATGGGCCTATATAACAACTTCTGCTGGATCAAGAGACTTTGTTTTAGGCCCGTTTATGATCAAGATAATTTTGAAGAGAGAAAATTCTGCAAAATCTGAAGAGAGATAATGATGTGAGTGTGTGTAATTATCGATATGGTTATGTTTTGTATAATCTAGATTTAAGGTCTAATTCACGAATATAATATTATGTTTTTAAACGTGAGATTTGAGAGGTTTATTGTATTCAATTAAGAATAACCAAGTGAATGTGATATACTAACTAATTTTATAATTGGAGGTCGTATTCTACCTTTTTTTCTTATTAATTGGTATTACTAACTAATTTGTGTCGGCAATCACATATTGTTGATTTGTTGTCAATTTATTTCTGCAATAAAACAAATTATATATAAATCAACTTACTGATATAAATCAATTGTGTACGTATTACACCTTTAATAATTCTCTCCTTCAAGATTAGACATGAGAGTCTTGATAATTGATTTCTATGCTTTAGTTTGGTTGTTTTGATTTATACATTGTTGTATTCGAAGCTTTTGTGTTCAATATCCAAGCTTAACGCATATATAAAACCCTTTTTATCCAAATCTCTTGCTTTCTTATTATGGTTACAAGTCCAAAGCTTGCATGACTCCGTTACCAGTTCATATTTTCAGTTTCTAACGGTACTAATCAGAGAGTAAGTGAGACTTTGAGAAAATGTGACAAAGGATCGAGTTTTGATACAACCATGTCCAAACCGACAATAACCAAAGCAAAGCATAGAAGGTAACTACATTAAGCTAACATAGGCCATAAACTAGATGAACTTCTTTGGAAAATGGTCACTTGAAAAAAAACAAAACAAGAAATGAGAAATGGATAGTTTAGTATGGATTTTTGTGATTTGGGCAGTTTATGCTATTTGAATTGTAGCTCTACTTTTTTAAAAGTGACAATTTTCTTAAGAAGCTCAAATTCTATCCACAATGGCAGCACTATCTATTTTATGCAACTTGTGATATTTTTCTAGAACAAACTTCCGACAATATTTTTGTTATGATTTGGATGCATGCATGTAAACTTAAGAGACAAAAATAGAGCTTACATAATCACTAATCCTTGTTATTATTTTCTAAAAAAATATAAATCATTGTTGTTAAGACCCTAATACATTAATTTTTGGACTATCTTATTTGCTAGTAGGACAGGTTGATGTAAACCCAACAACTGCAAGACAATAACAAAATAATAAGACAGCAACAAAGAGAAAAAAAAAAAAAAAAAACCGCATATAAACCAGAATAAAACAAAAAGTTTAAGAGAAAATGAAAGAAAAGAAAGAACTAATATATAAATCAAATAAAATATCAATAACACCAACTAATTAAAACCCCATTGTTGGCTAGCTTTTGGAGGCGGACTAATCATGCAATTGTTTCTTACGCGTGGTCTAAATTATTGTTCTACTTCTATAACCAATCAGCTTATTGTTATTTTTAAAAGTATATATACAATTATTAGAAATATCATCTGCCGTCGTGTTTAGGTTACATGTACTATTAGGTGTATCTGATATACAGATTTATAGTTTTTAAATTTAAAATCACATAATGCATGCATTTGTTTATGTTTTTATATATTACTTTAGAGATAGTTATGTTTGGGTAAATTATTTTAAATTGGGTTTCATACTATTTTTTTTTAACATACGATCGGGTTTCATACAATATATATAACACTCGTGACTTTGTATATACCTATTACTACATGAACTATAAACTTTGTATTAAATCAACCAATGCATCATATATATAGGTAAAAGATTAAGAAAGTCAAATTATTTACAAATTTATGTTTTAGTAGTTATGTTATACTTTAGTTATTTATTTGTAAACAATTTAACATATTAAACGTTTGAAGGAGACGTAAAAAATCATGCGAATGAAACAAAGTAATGGTTTATAATAAAAAAAACAAAAAAAAAAAACAGAAGAGAAAGAGATAGAGAATCATTTGTCGAGCTGTAAATTGTATGATGATGAAGGTAATGTCTCTTGAATTCCACGCAGCAAGACAAAGGCATTCTCAGGTTGACTTTTGTCAAGCACACGCAAAGGCAACATTATTACTGCTTTATTTAATCTTCATTTTTTTTTCTCTAATTTTTCTTTGATTTTAATCTTAAGTATAAGGGTTAGAGTCTTAGATACTCACATGTATATACCCTATACTAATACAATTTTTTTTTCCTAAGCTGTAAGTATCATTAATATGAATTTTCAGGTTTTTATATGATGGTTAGAACTTATTCCATTTGAAAATCTTGACAAAAATAAAATAAAAACAAGGTTTCGAATTTTTTGGGGAGAAATCTGTGAAGATTCATCGCAGCAACAACGTCATTAAATTGCGGAAGAGTCGTCTTTGTCTTCTTGATGTGTTGATGTTTTTAAGCTCACGGTCAATAATACAGTTTATTTTCATATTGTTCTGATGATTTGATATCGCCTAACTTCGTTGATTACATAAATGTTAAACTGTATAAATAACAACTAGCTAGCACAAACTTGTATATTAGTTGATTACATAAATGTTGAAACAAAGAATATTTTTAAACATTAGTTGGCATTCTAGATGAAGTCCTCATATTCTCTTGTTAAATGTATAAAATTGTAACTATTTTTCTTTTGTCAACAACTTATAACTAAGATTAAAGAAGTATTAAGTACGAGAACATATATATATATATATACTATGCATTACATGTCATTTCACATTAAATTTTAAGTACGTTAGACGCTAATATTTTCTTGGTCCTCTACTAGATAAGTTGATATGATTTAATTAGTGACTCATAAGTTCACGAAACAATTTTTCCAAGGCTAATAATACGTTTGTTTCTTACACGTCGTCAGAGTAAGTATTTTTGAAACGTTTCATAGCGAGATAATCAGATACGTTGAACTAACTCTAACTGGAGTGTGGAGACGACGTGCATTTATATGAAATTAAGTTAGCATATTTTTGCAATTTGCATGCCATTTTTTCTTTTGGTTAATTTACTTTCAGTTGCATGCCATTTAAATTCAATTAATTACATTATGTTACTTATACGATTAATACATTGATTTCTACACGATATTCACAAAAAACATGGAAACACGCATCTTTTTTTTTAACATCTTATAATATTTTAATTCTTGTTTATTTTATAAATGATGTATGCCTTCCTTTTTTATTATTTTCTAACGAATTCAAAGAATCAAAATCCACGATTCTGATTTAGCAGCCGCTCGTTTCCTTTTGTTTAATCCTTCAAAAAACCAATGTACTTACTTAATAAATAAAAATGCGTAGTGGAGAAGAATAAACGTAAAGCTGGTTATAATATAATGAACAAATTTATTACCTTAAAGAGTTAGGTGCAACGTCTAATTTAATAATGTTGACCAAATTGTCATATTGATTAGTAACACATATTACAAGACTTATTTTAATAAACAGTGTAAACACTTTCTTTGAAAATTGTCGTCGCCAATCACGGTCTATAGCTTCGTCACCTTCCTATCATCATATCCTTTTTTTTTTTTTTTTGGGTAAAATATCCTTATTTTCTTCTTTGTGTATGTGAATTTTTTTTTCTCAACAACTAAAGTGTACATTCATATGCGATCTTACTTTTTATTGAAGGCAACGTAAAAGTTCTTGAAGGAGTATTGAAATTTCAATTAATTACCTAAGGTATTTAAATTAATTGAAATTTTCTCTAAAATGAAATCGAATGTAATAATTAGTGAGCTTACTTTTTGGAAACTAGCAAAACTATGTCTGATAAAGAGTTAATAGTGAAACCCACTTTACCAAAAAAAAAAAAAAAAGAGAAATCTCCATTATACAAATAAAGTTTTGTTAATAAGAAAGAAAGAAAATTAAATGAATAATTTAACGCCGAAAAAAATGAATAATGAAATCTTTTATTTGGATCAAATTAATGAATTTTTTAAAATTATGATTTTTATTTAGAAAAAAAGACTAATAAAACGAGAAAAAGACGAAAATACATTAAAAAAAAAAAAAAAGCAAACACAGCCCACAAAGCATAAAAATATTCCAGAAGAAGAAACATCAAAGAAAGCTTCAAACTTCTTTCTCTATTTCCCCCTCTTTTCTCTCTCACCATTGGCAACCCTACAAAGATCTCTCTCTCAAGATTTCTGAAAATGGAAATATAATCTCACTGATTTTCTTTTTTTTTTTCTTGTTTCGTTTTCTCTATGTTTTGTGGGTTTCCTTTATTAACCCGAGCTGTAGTCTCCATCTCCCAGCCGGACATAGAAAGAAAAAATAGAGGAAATTTGTTCACAAAGAAGGTATTGCGTTAATTAGAATCGAAAGATCTTTATTTTTGAATCTCTGTAGTTTCAAAGGTTCAAAGGTTCGATCTTTGTTTGTGGGTTTGTGTTGGAAGCTTAAAAGTTTCTTACTTTTTTTCTGTGTTTCATACGTTTAGCTTCTTACAGTAATAACAAATGCTTCTACTGTCTGGTATCGGAATAGTTTCTGCGGTTTTAAATTACAAGTTTTGGATGATTCAGAAGTTGATATGATTATGGAACTTGTAAATTTTTAAATTTTTTACAGCCCAACCCTTTTGTTTACTTCAACTCATTGGTATCAGATTTAGATTGTTCTTGATTTCTTTGGATGAGATTGAATTTCTTATATGCTCTGCTTTGTTACTTTGCTCTGTTTGGTTCTGTTGCGTTTAGGTCCTTTTGTGATAAAGTTGATGTTTTTGGATTATGATTAGCCTAATCACCTTGTTCTTCATTTCATTACATTTTTCCAATATTTTTAGAGAAAGATCTGAGAATTGACTATAGCATCACCATTAGCTTCTGTTTCTTCCTCTTTCCCCCGATCTTATAGGTTCTTGATTACATTGATAATCCATTTCAAATTCTGCAGGTACATATATATATATACAAAGTCTCTGTGAAATATGGCATCTCAGCTAAAACGAACTCTAACCAAGAGATACGGTGTTCTTGAACTGTGGGAGATCATAGTGATTGCTCTATTTGCAGTGTTCATAGTAATCCTTGTCATTTCAGTATGGCTCAGCTTCCGTAAAAAGTCCAAAAGATCTAATGCCACAACGCTTCCTGTAACTCAAAGCCCTCGCTTTACTGAAGAAATCAAAGAAATAAGTGTTGATCATGTTTCATCTAACAACAATGGTACTTCTTACCCAACTCTTGATGAGAAATTCGTTGAGGACATCGAGAATGGCGATAAGTTTTCTGGTTCTTTGGAGAAAAAACCCGCGGTTGGGTCACATTTGCCTCCTAGTACTCCTTTAACAACAGCTCCTTCACCTCTCTTGGGTCTGCCTGAGGTTTCTCACATTGGTTGGGGTCATTGGTTCACTCTCCGTGACCTTCAACTCGCGACTAATCATTTCTCAAAGGAGAATATCATCGGTGATGGTGGATACGGAGTTGTTTACCATGGAACTTTGACTAATAAAACCCCTGTGGCTGTCAAAAAGCTGCTCAACAATCCGTAAGATTCTGATTCACCTCTCTTTATCTATCCAATGCTCATCTCTGAGATGAAATGTTTTTGTTACATTAGAGGGCAAGCTGATAAAGATTTCAGAGTTGAGGTGGAAGCTATAGGACATGTGCGGCATAAGAACTTAGTTCGGCTTCTTGGATATTGCGTTGAAGGAACACATAGGATGCTGGTTTATGAGTACATGAACAATGGGAACTTAGAGCAATGGCTTCATGGAGACATGAATCACAAAGGGCACCTCACTTGGGAAGCTCGGATCAAAGTTCTTGTTGGCACTGCAAAAGCGTAAGTCCCCTTAAACCACTTGATGATTACTTGTTTTCTTTTAACGTAAGCTCATGAGAAAGTTGGATTGCATTTTTCTTAACACAGGCTGGCTTATCTTCACGAAGCTATTGAGCCGAAAGTGGTGCATAGAGACATAAAATCGAGCAATATACTGATGGATGACAACTTTGACGCAAAGTTATCTGATTTTGGTCTTGCTAAATTGCTTGGAGCTGATTCAAGTTACGTCAGTACTCGAGTTATGGGTACATTCGGGTGAGTAATGAACTGAAGGCTGTAGCTATAACTTTACTTTTTCATAATCTGCATTGGTTAATGAGACATTTTTCTCTGTTCAGGTATGTCGCGCCTGAATATGCTAACTCTGGTCTCCTCAACGAAAAGAGCGACGTGTACAGCTATGGTGTTGTTCTCTTGGAAGCTATTACTGGAAGGTATCCAGTGGATTATGCGCGGCCTAAAGAAGAGGTACAAAACATTCATCTTTTCTCTAGATTGTGGAACACTCTGAAATCAGAGGTTGATCTTGATTCTTGAAATGTGTTTTTAGGTGCATATGGTGGAGTGGTTAAAGCTGATGGTTCAACAGAAACAGTTTGAGGAAGTGGTGGATAAAGAGCTTGAGATCAAACCATCAACTAGCGAACTTAAACGAGCACTTTTAACAGCTTTGAGATGTGTTGATCCTGATGCAGACAAGAGGCCAAAGATGAGTCAAGTGGCTCGAATGCTTGAATCAGATGAATACCCTGTGATGCCTAGAGAGGTAATCATAATGACACACAATGTAGAAAGACTGATTTTCTTGTGTGAAACCAGAGTGTTCATAATTGGTTTGATGAAATGTTTTAATCAGGAAAGAAGAAGAAGGAGAAATCAGAACGCAGAGACGCATAGAGAAAGCACAGACACGAATAAAGATAATGATATAATAACAGATGCAAAGATTTGAGCAAGGAACAGAAACATGGACCCTTCTTTATGACTTTTAGATTCTTTGGAGATTGTTTAGATTCTTTACTGTGTCTATAAGTTAATTATGTGATATATATAGATACAGAGAAGAACACGATTTGTTTCTTTTGTCTGGAGGAGGAGAGAGCTTTTGTATAGCTTTGTTGCACTGTCTTTTTTAATACCTTCATACAGAGTCAGTTACAGACATATATTTACAAAATGAATTTTATTTGGATCTTTAAAGTTTTTTTCCCAACAAGTCCTTTAGTGATAAGATGCATTCAAGATCGAATAGCTATCAAATAGAGTGGGGGTTGTATAAGGATTAGAATTTAGAGTGAACATTTTGGTTTTATAAAAGTTAGAATCAATGTAAACAATTCGTCATTTACTCTGATCATCTTTATCAAAAATATCTTCTTCAAAACCCCCACAGAAATGAACTAAAGTTAGTAAAACGTCTCAATAAAGAAAGAAAAAGTTGTATAGGCAGACGCATGAAAAGAGTTTTGGTATATCTTTGCCTCGCATATAGTAGAATTAGTAGAAACTTACATCACAGACATGAAATAATATAAAAATAGAGTAACATTCAGGTCTTTCCAAGTAAGATTTTCGGTGAAGTGGCAGGGTTTTATGAGAGAAATAAAAGCCTATTTCACAAATTTACACAAATCGGATTCAAACAAAAACAAATGAAATAGTGATCATCATAAAGGGTGAAATCAGGCTGGAGCATATCAATACGGGTTCCTGTGCGGTGTCTGAGGAGCAGAGCGAGGAGGATTGAGCAACGGCTGAAGGGCCTTCACTACTATGCTCATGTTTGGCCTGAAGTCTGCCTCATATTGCACACACAGCGCAGCTACCGCAGCCAGCTGATCATAACGAGTCACACAAGAGAAAACCAAAATCAGACTCCAAAAATCATATCCAGGTTTAAGGTTTCGATACTTAGGTTCTTGTGTCTGAAAAAGGTATTTTGTATTTCAATGTAGGCCTATCATAGGGAACACATCAAGAGGGAATCAAATCAAATTCGTTTTATTTACAACCAGGCGGACAAGTTTTAGCTTGTCGTAGTTGATTGTGGGGTGCAATGGATGGAGAAGTAGTTTCTAAGCCATATCCTAAGGTACACCTTTTCTACTGCAACAGTGAGAAGTATGACAAGGTTATGGGGGAAATTACCTTAGCAACAGCTTTGGGAGGATATTCTCCGTTTAGTCTTGCGTCAACACACTGCTTCACCTTGTCTTCACTCAGTTTAGGGGTTGCCTGAGACACACAAAAGCGTTATCATTGAGTACCACGTTTTTGTTTCTAGGGAAAAGTTCAGTCTCTATTATCTCACAAGCAAGCAGAGTTTGCTTCAGAAAGGCTTCACTAACAGAAACCCACCTTTATCCAGACTTTATAAAAAAACAATTCGCACTGCTTTTTCTTATTTGATAAATTCTAGTTTAGGAAATTTCTTTCTAGCAAAAGAATGACTACACCAAATCAATAATTTCTTTAGATGTAAAGCGGTATTGTCAAGTTACTAGAGGATTTTTTTGGTCATTCCTAATAGACTGAATAAATCATATATTTTCTAAGATTTTCTTATAAATATGAGTCAAAAAGAATAAGAAGCAGAGAACGATGTATTACCCATGTCACAAGACTCTGCTGTCCACGCGGTAAGGTATGATCAACTGGTTTACGACCTGTGAGGAGCTCCAGCAGAACAACGCCAAAACTATATACATCACTCTTTGTGCTCAATGTCCCCGTCATTGCATACCTAAATTGCAGAAGCAAATATGTTTAAGAATCTAGTTTGGTCAATGGGAAGAGATGCAAGACATACAAAAGTGTAAATGTATGATAAAATGATTATCAAAGCTGAGTCCAAGTGAAGGATTTAGTGCATCAGAACATTAGATAATGATAACAAATGATATATCACTGTTCAAGATAAATGATATCTAAAGGGACTTACTCTGGAGCGTGATAGCCAAAGGTTCCGAGCACACGGGTTGAGTGAAGGCGTGCAGCCATGTCAGGGGCTTGGTTGGACAGATCAAAATCAGCAATCTTGGCAACATCATCGTCGAACAGAAGTACATTGCTGGATTTGATGTCTCTGTGGATAACATGAGGGTTCGCCTTCTCATGCAAGTACTCGAGTCCTCTAGCCGCACCAACAGCAATTTTGACTCTCTGGTGCCACGACAGAACAGGACCTGGCTGTGCTCCTTTAACACCTTTTCGACCTGCACCAGTGAATACACCACAGTTCATTAGTTTCTCCTCCACAGATCTCAGAAAATGGTATGCATCTTCCTTCGATTGTAGTTTCACATGTCCAAGTCTAACTGAATCGATGGTTTACATTAGTAACTTACCATGAAGAATATCATGAAGAGATCCATTAGGAGCATATTCATAAGCAAGAACACGGAGTGGGCCATCAACACAATAGCCCAGAAGCGCAACAACATTGTCTTGTCGCAATCTCGAAACCATTGATACCTGTTAAAGTTTGTCATCTCAGTAACAAAGCAAAAAAAAATCGACAAAACAACCCCAAAAAGAGTGACTTCGTGCAGAACTATCAGAGCATATGAAGTATAATATCTAGGTGGGTATCCAACCAAGAGCAAAAAATTCATTCAGGAAACATATATGTGAGATGAAGGCCACAACAAGACTGAGATGATATATATTGTAGCATCTACCTGGGCAAGAAATTCTTGATCTGGTTGCTTACTAGAATCCAGTTTCTTAATGGCAGCTGCCTTACCACTTTTAAGAATACCATAAAACACTCTTCCATATGAACCCTCACCAATCAAGGACTTTCCACCATAATTATCCGTTATATCCCTCAATTCATCAGCTGGAATGGGCGCAACAGAGATAGGCTGCATCTGAATGACTGGAGGGTTCTTGGGAGGATCTGCCCTTTGATGATGACCTCCATTGTAACCTTAACAACAGTTAAAAAAGTTCATAAACTTAAGCCGCCAAAGAATGGGCAATAAAGATAAGGGTAAAGCAGTTGAATTCAGGAGTAAACTAAGCTACCTCCTGTGTTATGCACTGGCTTTGGTCCAGTTTCAGCAACTCTACGGAAATCCTCACCACCACAACAACCAAAGCAGCTCATTACGCTTCTCTAACACACGAAACTGTATCAGAATATTCATATCGCAAAACGTCAGTAATGGTGTTACAGAACAAGACTTTACATACGAAAATTTAGAAGTAGCTAATTTTTTCCCCAAATGAAATGGAGCAAACTAATGCTCAGACAAAGCCTCGACGAAAAGTTTCTAATTATAGGGTTTAAGCAGAATCAAACGGAAACAGGATTTTTCATAAAAAACAATTTTTTGCATCAGAAGAGTAAAATCCTTCTTCTACATGATGATGAAATTTCATTACAAAAGCATAATTCGATCAAAATCGAGACACTTATAAATGATACATTTGGTGACCTAGACTATCACAAGTCAACGATCGTAACCCGTAAAATGGATTTCAAACTGAAAAAACTATCAATAAACTCCCAAAAATCCGTTAATACAATCCAATCGGCATGAAATCGAACCCTAGGAACAAAATTTCCCGATAAATACGGACATAAAAGGAAAGACCCAAAAAGAGAGAAATTTAAGCGAGTTGGTAAGAAGAAGATAGCAAAATTACCTTTTCCAAAAACGAGAATTAGAGAATCTCAAAAGATAAACAAGAGTCGAATTCTCCGATGGTAGAAGAAAGCAGAAGAAGGTTTCTTCTATCTCTTTGTTCGTGTAGGGTTGGTGAAGAAACGCAGACTTTTCTTCCCGGCGGAAATTTACAGTAAATGCTATATAGGGTGCGCTGATGCGCACGTTAGCAACTTGTCTACTCTTTATATTACGCTTTTATCAGGTCAAAACTCAAAAGTCTTAATCGACTAATTAATTAGCCATTTGATTGGTCGATCATTTCTTATATAAAATTTTTGAATTGCCCGTAACAAAAAAATACAGAAATTTATGAAACCCCGCACTGTGGGTCAGGTTCTAGTATGTACTAATACATAGGTCAGTAATTATTTCAATAAGAAAATTGTGTTCAATAAAACTTTTCAAATAAGTCCATTTTGTAGTGGGTCATAGAATAACAATCACATAATTCTTTTGTTTTCTAGTTTGTTTTTGCGTTTACGAAATAAAACCATATTTTTTTTCGTACAATTGGTATTTTAAACATGTAAGGAAAACCAAAATAGACGGCTGATAATATTAATAAAAAGATTAATGTATAGTAGTATATGATTTTTGTGGAATATAATAAAGTTGTAAAATGTAGAGGTCAAGGATGGGAAGCGAGTATCTTTTGACCTTCAAAGGTGATCGATCGTGTTCTTTAAGTTTGGTCGTCGGTCTACAAGTCAACAACCACCTTGAAGTTTTCGCGTCTCAATGTCTTCTTCCTTTTTTTTGGTACTTGCATTTTTTTACATTAGGCAACACATCAAAGAGTTCAATTTTTCATTTTTTCTTATGTAGCATCCTGCTTGTAATGTATTTATGAAATTTTTTTCATTCATATATAAAAGATCCAATATACGAGTAATTTAAATGAATATGGCTTCAATATATAATTAAGTGTAAACAATCTCAACTCACCCTCTATCTTTGAAACGCAAACAAAACTTACATTTATTTAACATTAAAAAAAACAAAAACTTACATTAAATGTTTGCGATTTTCTAATAGAATATTATTGTAAAATGTAAATGTAACTACTAAAAACAAACATGAAATTATACTTTTTCACTAGCATTTGGTAATTATGTTTACGATTGACAATATATGTCAAACAAAATGTAACAAGCCTTGAAATTGCGAAACTCTGACTTGGAGATGCAATGCATCAGTGGCAGAGCTAGTGAAGTACGAGTTTTTTTTTTTTTGGGACGTTTAGGTATGTAAATGGACTAATTTGTTATCAAATTCCTTCTGTTGTTTTCCTTTTGTTGACTCTTTGCTTGATCTGCACTGAGCTTGGAACATATAAGCACCCAAGTGGACAATCATGAATTTCTGAAGTTTCTCCGTGATCAACGTCTCTGAAATATCCATCCACTCCAATGATATAAGCTGTGTTACGAAGAGGAGTCTGTACAACGCCACTGTCTTTATCTTTCTCTTTATCAAAAACCACAACCACTTTCTTCTCTTCTTCAATGAAGAAACTCCCTTCTGTGAGACTGTGACTCCAAATTGAAAACCAGTGAGTGGTATCCATATCAACTGTTAAGAACAACTTGTTCCACGACACCACTTCAGGCTCAATTTTAGTCATAACCCAAATCTCCATATGTAAGTTGTCCTAACGCTGAAATAACACACAAGTTCCTCTTCTCTAACACTAGAAAGAGTCAATTATAAATACTCAAATCTTGGGGACGTTTAGTCTGTATCCGCTGCATCACGAGGATGCTGAACAATTAAGAAAATCTGAGAGAATCACAGGTTGTGCTGGTCAATGTTCAAGGTAGATCATCATGGAGTCTCTGCAGCGCTGGTTTGATCCAAAACTAAAACTGTTCCATGTACACATTTGATAAATGTTGGGTAGGTCTATTTGCATCAATCCAATTCGAGGACTTAGATGAATGAGTTGGCTTGGTCTTCTGGTTAGATTTGATCAACCAAACTCTTGGTCTTTTTTTTTATTGGCATTGTACTAGTGAATTGCTACATGAGAATTTATCATCAACCTAAATCTGACCAACATCTCATCAAGGCGTAACAGCTGAAGCACTTGCGTAGTCAAGACCACTCTGGTGGTAAGGCTAACCAAGATAAAAAAAAAGGTGTAGGAAAGCAGACGATGGTAATTCTGTAATAACTGGCATACATGAAGAAAATGTAGCAGTAGATGGTTTCCAAAACTTACAAATGGGACATTAGGATGGGTACTGCAAATTCCTTGTCATTGGGTGCTCTTAAAAAGCGGTTTATTGGTTATATACAGGTGAATTTGGGTCCTTGAAGCATTGGATTGTAAAGATAGAACGTATATATTCTCATAACGCTGCGGCTCTCAACTCCTAAGCCGCAGTAGCTCGGCTCTCCATTGCTTCAGAGAACCCTATATATATTAAAAAAAAAAAAAAAGGTTTGATTGCTTCTAAACGAGAAAGGCAGCCGCTACTGCCTGCAGTGACGAAACGAACAGACTAAATATCTAAAATTTGTTTCTAATTGTTACATCATCATCATAGAAATATTAATCTAATATGGTGATATTCAAATCTCATTGCTTTCATGTATTAAATTTCTTAAGTGATCGATACAAATTAATATAATTGGCTAATATTATTGTTCAAAGAACATAAAGAGAGGCCAAGATTTAGACTAATAAACAATCAGATTCTTTTTTCTTTTGCCTCTTTGCTTGATCTGCACTGAGCTTGGAACATACAAGCACCCAAGTGGAGGAGCACAAACTGAAGTTTCTTTGAGATCAACGTCTCTGAAATATCCATCCTCTCCAATGATATAAGCAAAGTTGCGACGGGGGGTCTGCACCTCGATATTGTCTCTATCTTTATCTTTATCAAAAACTACAGCGAGTTTCTTCTCTTCGTCAATGAAGAAACTCCCTCCTGTAACTCCAAATTGAAAATCAGTGAGTGGTTCCATATCCACTGCTAAAAACAACTTGCTCCATGACACCACTTCAGGCTCAATCTTAGTCGTAACCCAAATCTCCAAATGTAAGTTGTCCTCACGCTGAAATAACACAGCAAGTTGCTCTTCTCTAACACTAGAAAGAGTCACAGTGTCTTCATCATAAGAGCGAAACGGCAGACGAAGACGCGGTCCAAACCTTTCTTTTGTAAAATCAAAACATATCAAGAAGTCAGGAATCTCTACCGTTGATCTTCTTTCTCGATACTTCTCTAAAGCAAACCAATAAGTATTTCTCTTGAGAGTCACGCCATGTGCAAAAAACAGTATATGCCAGTCGGAAGTGACATCAAGAACCCTCCATGAGTTAGAGTTTAACTCGTAGATTTCGTACTCAACAATACTCTCAGACGAAACTTCAACAAATCTCAAAATTTTGTAGCTGCAGCATGATTTGCTATTCTGGTATCCAACAGCATACCTATACAAGTGCCGTTTATGACGAAGACTACTGGGCTTGAACCACAAGGTTTGGCCCCAATACGGATTCCAAACAACGAGCCTAGAGCAGTCTTTTGGGATGCATAAGACTAAACCATCACAGTGATAGACTCTAGATATATCGACTTGATTGGAATCGTCTAGGCTAATAAGTTTACCTTGACGGTTTATAGTTTCGTCAACGCCCTTGCAGAGATTGATGCCCATCAAATAAACCTGAGAATCCATAACCATGACCACCATAAACTCCCTTGCTGCCGCTGCTTTTGCTTGAGCAAGGTGTTTCCTTGTAAAGCTCCGATCTTTGGATAAAGTGTTCCACTTTTTGCAAGCAGCTCGGAACCCTCTCAGAGATGTCACCGGAAGCCTAGACAGAACCTCCTCTGCCAAATCACTTGGAAGATCGGACATTGTCGTCATTTTTGCAGGTAATTTCTCCTTCGTTGCTGCTTTTGCTTGAGCACGATGCTTTATTGTAAAGCTCCGATATTTGGATAAAGTGTTACACTTTCTGCAAGCGGATCGGAATCCTCTCGGAGATGTTACCGGAAGCTTAGACAGAGCCTCCTCGGCCAAATCATTTGGAAGATCGGACATCTTCGTAACTCCTTCTTCTTAATTGCTGAATTTTCTTGAGCAAGTTGCTTCTTTGTAAAGCAACGATCTTTGGATAAAGTATACCCCTCTTTGCAAGCACATCGGATTCCTCTCCGTGATGTCACCGGAAGCCTGGGCAGGACATCCTCTGCCAAATCCTTAGGAAGATCGGACATCATCTTCAATTCTTTCAAAGGATCCATATAACACAAATAATTTAAAGCTTTAAGAAGAAAAGGGAGAGACGCTCTCTTTTTCCGCTCTGGCTGGGGTTACAGATTTTGTTCCGGCGACCTATTTGAGGACACAGAAAGTCAGAAACCCTCACCGAAGACAACCCAATTGTGGGCTTGAGAATCTAATGGGCTCTAACTGTGGACCAAGACAAATTTTAAGAACTCTTCACCTTCAAATTTTCTATTTTTTGGTGTATTTTGTACCAATTTCTTCTCTAACTTCAACAACTGCCTCATAGCCGTAGTCATGGGCTTCAAATTTTATCGCTTGGTGTGTTTCGTTGATTTGCAAGGTCTTAGCCCATTTGAAACCCAATAACTAAATCTAGCATTTTCGGACCGGACAAGATCTTCACAGAATGGCGTAACTGTACAGTTTTGCCTATTTTAAATCGGACAAGATCAGATTTAGACCACCCAACATAGTCTTATTTGACAACCTAAGCTAGCCGACACACTACTATGAAAAAGCAAACAAAAGAAGAATTCTATGTTGTCTTTTTACCGGTGGCAAGTGGACCCTTCCATAAAAGAGTAAAGAGACAGCCTGTGTATGTGTAATCTCTAATTATGTTCACCGACACAAACCCTTCTCCAATTACACAACTTCTACATGATTTACGACATTAATTATCATTAACTCTTTAAATTCAGATTTACATGCTCAAAAATATCTACTAACTAAAGATAATTTGCAGCATTAATTTGATTATTTATTATAATCGTCGTGATTCGTGATATTCAATAGATGCTGTCAAGTTGTACTCGCACGCGGTGGTCCAGTGAAGCAAATCCAACGGTTTAAAACCATCTTATATTTCTAGATCTAATCTGAACCGTCAGATATCTAGATCTCATTGTCTGAACACAGTTAGATGAAACTGGGAATGAATCTGGACGAAATTACGATCTTACACCACCACCCACCCCCTCGACGAGCTCGTATATATAAAGCTTATACGCTCCTCCTTCACCTTCGTACTACTACCATTACATTTCTTTAGCTCAACCTCCATTACTAATCTCCTTTTAAGGTATGTTATCTTTTCTTCGATTCATACATTCTCAAGATTCCTGCATTTCTGTAGAATTTGAACGAAGTGTCGATTTGTGTTTGAAAGAAGTGTTGATTTATAGATCTGGTTATTGAATCTAGATTCCAATTTGAATTGATTCAAGTTTCTTATGTGTGTTTATACTTTTGCTGATTGATCTTGTTGAATTCTATGCTCTTTTAGGTTTCTTTGTTGAATCGGATCGGAAAAATGGAATCTTTTTTGTTCACATCTGAATCCGTCAACGAGGGACATCCAGACAAGCTTTGTGATCAGATCTCCGACGCTATCCTCGATGCTTGTCTTGAACAAGACCCTGAGAGCAAAGTTGCTTGTGAGACTTGTACCAAGACTAACATGGTCATGGTTTTTGGAGAAATCACCACCAAGGCTAATGTTGATTACGAGCAGATTGTTCGTAAAACGTGCCGTGAGATTGGATTCGTATCTGCTGATGTTGGTCTAGATGCTGACAATTGTAAGGTTCTTGTTAACATTGAGCAACAGAGTCCTGACATTGCACAAGGTGTTCATGGTCATCTCACCAAGAAGCCAGAGGAGGTTGGAGCTGGTGACCAAGGTCACATGTTTGGGTATGCTACTGATGAGACTCCTGAGCTCATGCCGCTTACTCACGTTCTCGCTACTAAGCTTGGAGCTAAACTCACTGAAGTTCGCAAGAATGGAACTTGCCCATGGTTGAGGCCAGACGGTAAGACTCAAGTCACTATTGAGTACATCAACGAAAGCGGAGCCATGGTCCCTGTACGTGTCCACACTGTTCTCATCTCAACACAGCACGACGAGACTGTGACTAACGATGAGATCGCAGCTGATCTTAAGGAGCATGTGATCAAGCCAGTGATCCCAGAGAAGTACCTTGATGAGAAAACCATCTTCCATCTTAACCCATCTGGTCGTTTTGTTATCGGAGGTCCTCATGGAGATGCAGGGCTTACCGGCCGTAAGATCATCATCGATACTTACGGTGGTTGGGGTGCACACGGAGGTGGTGCTTTCTCCGGAAAAGACCCAACCAAGGTTGACAGGAGTGGAGCTTACATTGTTAGGCAAGCAGCTAAGAGTATTGTAGCCAGTGGGCTTGCGAGGCGTGTCATTGTGCAAGTATCCTATGCCATTGGTGTCCCTGAGCCATTGTCTGTGTTTGTGGACAGTTATGGAACCGGAAAGATACCAGACAAGGAGATTCTTGAGATTGTGAAGGAGAGCTTTGATTTCAGGCCAGGTATGATCTCCATTAACTTGGATTTGAAGAGAGGAGGTAATGGTAGGTTCTTGAAGACTGCGGCTTATGGTCACTTTGGAAGGGACGATGCTGATTTCACCTGGGAGGTAGTCAAGCCACTCAAGTCTAACAAGGTCCAAGCTTGAAACCTGTTAGCCTCTGTTTCACTTGTGTTCAGAATCAGTCTTGTTCTCTGTATTTTAAGCTCTTTGTGGGGTTTTTAGTTTCAACTCTGAGATGGGTTTATTCATTTTGTTTTTAACTTTGAAGAAAAAAGCTAAGCAGTTGGGTTTATATAATTATTTATATGGTATCGTTTGTGGTAAGGAAGTCATCATTTGTATTTCTTGCTTCTTTTGAGAAGAAAATCATATAAAAGAATATTCGATATTAGTCATCTTTGTTTGCATAATCAATATCAAAGATTTTGGGTTTATTTGATGAGTCCTTAAGCAGAGAGGCAAATAAAACTTTAGTGTTGAGTTAAAACATGATGAGATTAGATTGCACTGGTGATTCCATGAACGCATACATCAGCTTCAACGAGACAGACATCTTTGAGCAACAGACCACTGTTTGGCTGTGTGAAATAAACCATCGATACATATTTCACCCATCCATGCTCCGAGCTTGATCGACTAAACCATTTAGTAACTGTAAACCAGACAAGTTACAGATCAAGATGTGAACAGATTCACATTCATATAACAAGTATCTGAGAATGAGTTTGCGGGGATGTTTACCTTTCCCGGCAATGTGTCTGCCTTGTAACTGATCAAATATTCGAATTGTAAACTCTACAAATATCTTTGTACCATCTGAAATGGTTTCAGGATCTACAAGGGTTAGATAGATAGAAAGATGGGTTCCTGTTCCTTGCTTCGTTCCCGTTGGATAAAACCTTACCTTCCTGCATTAGTACCATTTATTAGCTTTAAAGCTACGGTTGTTTTGGGACTGTTGCCAAAAACGTTGTTACCATTTTCTATCTCCGGCGAAGAAAGCATTTGAGTCATAGCTTTCTTTGTCTAACTTGGAGAAATTCTCAATTTTCCAGACGTGCTTAGAGCTAGTAGCATCTTTAATCATTGATAAACATTCTCCTCTCCCACTTCTTCTCTCCTTAGAAACAAACACATCAGCTCCAAACATACATGTGTCTTCCATAAGGTATCCATTTGACGCATCAGAGAAGGTACCGGTTGGGATGAATTTATCAAATCCCCATTCACGCTTCACCGCATGAAACCGTCTCTCGTTTCCTGCAACACGAAATGCATATAAGGGTGGGAGAAGGATGAGAGCAGCATACTATTTGAAGAAGTGAAAATATACCTTGTAGAATCAAATAATTATCTTTGTTTTGATCCAGTAAGTACAGACGAAAAACTGCATAAACCTCCCATCCTGGACTTAGTGAACTAGAGTCCGCAAGAGCTAAGTAAACAGAAACATGGTCTTTCGTATTCTTGCTCTTGTTTCCATTTGGGTACAGAACCAGTTTCCTGCAAGCAAAACCTCATATTATGTTAGACATTTTAAAACTAATGCACAATAATTGACTAAATTCACGGTATTTGATTGGACAGAGGAAAATTGAAACAAAGATGGGTCCAGATTTCACATGAGAAACGATCCACTATGAGTTGGAAAAGTTGAAAACCATGACCAGAGAGACTTTATACTAGTCCACTACGCAGAGAGAAAAAGGAAGATGTAAAAGTTACTTTTGAATAAAGGAAAGTTTTCCAAAGCATAACTACTGACCACACCCTAAAGCAATGAAGAATAGGATCCCACCAACGAAAAAGCACTGAAAAATTGAGGCATGTTCCAACAATAAGCAGGGTTTAAGATACTAGCACGTGTTATGATGATAAATCTTCAGACAGAAAAGGGGTTTGTTAATTCTTGAACAAAGAGGAAGAATAAAGTTGTGTAATAATGATGCTATACCATTTGTAGCCTCCAGCTTCAAAGCTCTCAGTTTCATATCTCTCTATAGCATGCTTTGTAAGGAGTGAGAAAGACTCTATCTTGACCATGTAATGTGTTGGTGGGGCATCAGATATAGACTTTATAATTTCTGCAAGCATTTCACACAAAAGTTACCTTTGTGCAAATTCATCTGTACATTTTACCTTTAAGTGAAAGGGGAAATGAATCTAACTACACTAGTCATAACAAAACAGGGCAACAACATTATCCAACGGTTGAAATATCAAATCTCACACTTCATTTCCTACGATGGATATCATTCAATGGTCTATCTAGAGGATCATATGCACATATACATACATCACTCATCACTGGTAATTCCGTGTATTTAATAAGACATGTAAGAGAAAATTATATAGAGAGAGAGATGATGATACCATCATGATCACCGGAACTGGCCATGAGAAGATATGCAGAAACCAGAAAGAAAACTAGTGAATATGCAGATAAGAATCATTCTATAAACTTTCTATTTATAGGTGAAAGAAATAGATTGCATCTTATGTGTTTAGGATCAAACCTTTATACTTTGCTTGAAAGGATCATACCTTTTCCATGCATTTTTAGACTTATGCCCTGTGAGGTTGCAGAATCAAAAAGCAAGAATAAGATTCAAATGTGCATCTTCTAGTACGTATATCAATGGAGAGAAACAATACCAAGAGTGTTAAACAAGCCAAATGATTTTGAAAGTCACTCACTATTTTTATTTCTGGTCTAGATAAAGTGTCTTCCATCAAAAACCACACAGAACACAATGGATCTTCTAGGTTCTGACATTGTGTATAACCCAGTCCGAGCAGCTTCCTGATCAACAATTTCTCTGCTTGTTTTTTTCATCTTTTGTGCGAGAAATTCTGCTTTTCAGCTTTTCTTTTCTTAAAAAAAAACATGTTTTGGCAGTGTTCCGGCTTATCCGGTTATTTCGGAATTATACGGTTTCATTTAAATGACAGTTATAATCAAACCGGTCGGAAATTAACAAGCATCAAGAGAGTTTAAGTTTGTTTCTTTAGGGTTTAGGATTTAGAGCAATCTACCGGCTTATACAACTCTTGACGGTAGACTGAAGAAGGAATCCAAATAGTTGACGGCGATTCAACTATAAATGATGAGATCGACTATCAAGAGATTTTGTTCATCCGAATCTCCAGAGGAAATGTAATCATAATCCTCTGTCGTTTGTTTAATCTATTCGGAATCTGTTGCTGGAGGAGACTGAGATTGTGATGATTACGGTGAGAAACTCAGAAATAGTCTCCAGAGTTCATTAAAGTTAGAATGAAGTCGATGCAGCAGTTGATGATTTTTGTTCAGTCCTTTCTCTTCCATTTTTGATTATTTCAGTAGATTGTCCGCCAAGTTTGATGTAACATAGTATCTATACTTGCAACATTCTAATGACCAGATGCTCTCTTGCTTTATCTTTTCTTGGAAAGATTGTTAAGCTTGGGTATTATCATGAGCCTCTTAGCTCGTTGCTCCATTACAGGAATGCAAAACCGGATATCGAAATCTACAACTCTGTCACTGTGGCTCTTTGCAAAAGCAGATATGTGAATGATGCTCTCCAAGTATTCTACCAAATGGAGAACAAAGGGTTCATACCGAGTCTTGTTACATACAACTCTCTGATTAGGCGTCTTTGTAAGTCTGGAAGACGGAGTGAAGCCACTGGTTTACTTTGCGATATGATCACCAAGAAAATCCATCCTAATCTCATCACTTTCAATGGATTGATCCATGCATCTGTGAAAAAAGGCAATGTTTTAGAGGCTAAAGAATTTTACAAGGAGATGATCCGTAGGTCTATCGATCCAGATATCCGCATTTACAATTCACTCATCAATGGACTTTGTATGCACAGTCGCCTTGATGAAGCCAAAAAGACGCTTAACTTCATGGTAACAAAGGGTTGCCTCCCAAATGTGGTGACGTATAATACTCTCATAAAAGGATTTTGCAAGTCTAACAATGTACATGATGGGATTCAACTCTTGTGCGAGATGGCTCGTGAAGGAATATGTGGCGACACATTCACTTACAACAGTCTTATCCATGGTTTTTGTCAAGCTGGGAAATTTAATGTCGCTCAAAAGGTTATGAGACACATGTCTGAGTCTTGCGTGCCTCGTGATATCATTACCTTCAACATTTTGTTAGGCTTTCTATGTGATACTGGCGAGATAGAGAAAGCAATGGCGATATTCAGGGGAGATATGGAAAATAATGAAATCGAGTTTGATACAATCACATATAATTCAATGATCAATGGATTTTGCAAACACAATCGTCTAGATGATGCAAAACGCATTTTTCATCTGATGGCTACCAAGGGCTGCTCTCCGAACGTAGTCACTTTCAATACTCTCATATACGGTTGTTGTAGGGATAAGAGGGTAGAGAAGGGAGTGGAACTTCTCCGTGAGATGTCAAGAAGAGGATTAGTTGCTGATACAGTTACTTACAACACTCTTATTCACGGGTTCTGTCGAACTGGAGATCTTACTGCCGCACATGACCTTTTCAGTGAGATGACTTCTCATGGTGTGTTTCCTGATATCGTAACTCGTGGCATTTTGCTGCGCGGTCTCTGCGATAATGGGAAACTAGAAAAGGCGTTGAAAATGTTTAAGGTCATGCGGGAGAGTAATATGGATATGGATACTGCTGTTTATAACATCATCATCCATGGAATGTGCAAGGCTGGTAAGTTGGAGGAAGCATGGAATCTATTCACTAATCTGCTCCTCAGTGGTTTGCAACCTGATGTTAAAACTTACAATATGATGATTAGATTCAGCGCGTTAGGGAGGGCTGAAAAATTATATGCAGAGATGCTCCGTAGAGGTATAGTACCCGATACCATCACCTATAACTCAATGATCCATGGACTCTGCAAGCAGAACAAACTAGCCGAGGCAAGAAAGGTGTTTGATTCCATGGATAACAAGAGCTGCTCAACTTTTAATACACTCATTAATGGTTACTGTAAAGCAAGAAGGGTTGATGATGGGATTGATCTTTTCTGCGAGATGTATCGAAGAGGAATAGTTGCTAATGTAATTACTTACACTACTTTGATTCATGGGTTTCGTCAAGTTGGTGATTTTAAAACCGCTTTAGACATTTTCCAGGAGATGGTTTCTAATGGTGTGCGTTCTAGTTCGATAACTTTCCGCGATATTCTTCCCGAGTTATGCAGTAAGAAGGAGCTAAGAAAGGCAGTGGCAATGCTGGTGGATTTGCAGAAGAGTGTTGTGGTATGTCCTCAAAGAATGTAGTCCTCTGATTGGTTTTGGTGTGTTTTACTTCTTGAAAATTTTACTCTGCTGTTCTTTTTCTTGAAACCAACAAAAAAAAAAAAGTTGTTTGTCTTCCGGTTATTTTGATATATACGGGTTTAATAAAACCGGAAAGCCGGTCGGCAATTAACAAGTAATTCTCGCACGCCACGTGGAGGGTCTGGACCACCGTGGTCGCTCGTGCAGCTGATTTGATTCTCTTCTCTTCTCTCTTTTTTCGCCTTCTTCGTTTTGATCAGAGTGTGTGTGTGTGTGTGATTGATTACGACGGAGAAGACGAAGGCTAATGGCTACAGAGACATCGACGCAATCTTACAGTGAGAAATGGTATTGGGACGAGCGTTACACGAACGAATCTGAACCGTTTGATTGGTACCAGAAGTATTCATCTTTAGCTCCTCTCATTAATCTCTATGTTCCTCACCGTAATCAACGAGCCCTCGTCATTGGCTGTGGAAACTCAGGTATATAGAAAAATAAAACTCTTTTGGTTTCATAGTTTTGTATTGTTCTGGATCCGTTTTGGTATTTTATTGTTTCGATTTTTTGATGCAGCGTTTAGCGAAGGAATGGTGGATGATGGATATGAAGATGTAGTCAATATTGATATATCATCAGTGGTGATTGATACCATGATTAAGAAATACTCTGATCGTCCTCAGCTCAAATGTACGTTTTTTTCTTTTTCTTTTTCTTCTAAACATTTGTTAATTCTTCTGCTTGATGTTGCAATTTGGGGAGAGACATATCTGTGTCTGCCTTAATCGGTTAAATTACTAGATTTAGCATGAACTTGTGTATTTTTGGATAATGTGAGACAACAGATTTGAAGATGGATGTGCGTGATATGAAGGCATTTGAAGATGCTTCTTTTGATGCTGTTATCGATAAAGGTGTTCTTACTACATGTTTGAATATCATTATTAGTCTAGATGCATTGTGTTTCATGTATATAACATTTTGGATTTTCTTTTTGTATGTGTGTGTGTGTGTGTTTTCAGGAACCTTAGACTCTATTTTGGTGAGTGAGGTCTACTTTCTCTTTACTTATGTTATCTCTAGATGCTGATTTCTCAAAAAGTCTTATCCTTTTTGCATGTATTAGTGTGGGAGCAATTCCAGGCAATACTCAACACAAATGCTTGAAGAGGTTTGGAGGTACTTCTATTACATGGCCTGAAATGTTGAATGGTTTCTGTTTTTTTTCTTATTCTTTTATTATTTCTTTCTTGATCCTTTCACCTATAATGAAAGCAGTTGATGAAACCTATAGGGTCCTCAAGGATAAAGGAGTCTATATCCTGGTAAAATTTTCTTATCGGTTTTATTCTTATGCGTCTCTGTTTGTTGAATGCAAATTGATATTTAGTTGGTTCTCTGCAGATTACATATGGAGCTCCGATTTACCGTCTTCGCCTGTTTAAAGAATCATGCTCTTGGACAACGAAACTCCATGTTATAGGTTAGGTTTAACTCAGAAACCATCGTTTAATTCTTTTCTGGGAGTATGTTGTAATGTTTGTGGACACGGTTTTGGTTCGCAACACAAGTTTGAAACAAAAGTTCCTTTTTCTCTGCTAACAAAGACTTTTGCTCATTTTTGCAGACAAAAGTTTAACTGATCAACCGTTAGAAACCCCAAAATGGGAGCTGACAAAACCACTTCCTCTAGATGCTGAGGGAAGTTCAGTGGAATCTGCGATAGGCAAAAGCCCTGATGTCCATTACATCTATGTCTGCATTAAGGTGTGTGGTTTGATTCTGCTTTCTATAGCTTTTTAGCTAAGATAATGTCTTTTCTGTTTCTGGATAACCATTTGCATCTGGCTTATTTCATATGATTAATCCACACTCTTCCACATTGATCATGCAAGATCTCATCTTCAAACTCGGTCTGAACTTCACCTGTGTCTTTGTTCTTATGAAAATTGTCTCAGGATGAGTCGTTGAAGATGGATGCAGACGCAGCATGACCTCATGGGAACCGTTTTTTGTGCCACTTGCTCCGAACATACAAGTCCTTTAAGGTCTTATTTTTGTGTGTATTTATCTACAAAAGGAAGACGAGTAATTTCTTGAGTTCATGTTTACTCCTTAATTAGAGGAGGAACAAAAGCTTTAACTATAAAATTATTAGCAATGGGAAAATGTTGATTTTATTTACACCGATTACAACAACAGACCAATAACAATATCTTGTTGAGATTGCTGGACTATCTTCATAGGTTTGACTCATGTGAGATATATATAGACTCTCTAGAACAAACAAAGTAGAAGAGAAAAAGAAAATAGTGGGTGACTGTTAGACCATCTCCAATAGTGCTTCAAATTTCACCTTTTCATTCATTTCAAAGATAAAAATAAAGAAATCTTCTCCAATAGTGCTTCATTTTTACCTTCAAACTGAAGAAGTCAATAGTGTATCTTCATATTTGAAGGTATACTATTCATATCTTCATATTTTGAAGATAAACTTTTTTATTTACAAAATGATCCTTTAAATTATAAGAAGTTTTTCTTTTATACCAAACAAATTATTTATTTATATTTTATCCAATTAATTTATAAATTTCATTTTTTATTTTATCCAATCAAATTAAAATGCAATGATAACTTCTATTAAATAGAAAAACAACAAAATATTCAATATAAAACTTAAAATACATAATTAATATCGATATTAATGATAAAATAAACATAACATAGCATAGAGTAACAACTCAATAATTTGGTAATACGCTTTCGGATCTATTAAGATACTTAAAATATTGCTCAAATGTTTACTATAGATAAAATTTGTTGAACTATTAGTTAACCATAAATAAATGGGGCAAAATTTATAAATTTAGAAAGTAAAGGGCATTTTTAATAATTTATAATGAAAGAAAGATAGAATATACTTAGAATATTCTTTTTGAAGTAGAAAATGAAGGAAACCATTGGAAAAACTTTGCTTCATTTTTTCCTTCAATTTTGAAGATATATTTGAAGGTAACCATTGGAGATGCTCTTAGGCTATAACTGACTTTTGTTGCTGTAGAATTTGTGTTGTATCCATTTAAAAACAAAAAATTATTGACAAATATAAGATTTTTAAAAATATAAACATTGATTGATAAATAACATTTTCTTAGTATTTTTGTTTTAATGTAAACAAAAATGCTTTGTATTAGTAAAAAAAATTATAGAAACTTTATTTTAAATAAGCCATATGTTAAGTATTAAACTAATATACAATAGTTAAAAATATAATTATTTAATATGTATGGAAAAGATAAATTTTATATGTATACACATTATAATCTATGAAGGAAAATAGAAATTGGTAACCAAAATTGTATTTTATACAGTCATTTGTCATTTCCTACAGCAAAGAAAAGAGAGTTTTAGGAATTATTGTTTCTACATCCTTACTTCTTTTTTTGGGCTGTAAGTTCTAAAATTAAAGTATAGTATGATTGGTAACTTTTTAAGGCTGTAATTAAAATTGAGGATGTAGATAGCTCCTACGGCCCAATCAATCATAGCCTATATTTTGTTCTTCTAACCACTTATAAAGGTATCAAGATTTGAACTATAGTTAAATATCATCATTTATAAAATGGAAATTCAAAACTTAAGAAGCCGTGAAAAAAAAAAAAAAAACTTAAAGAAACACGAAATCTTTAGATAGATGATAACAAACTAAATTTAGATATATGTCCCAAATTTTTTATTAAATACAGCTGGATGCTTTATAATATAGTCACTTTGTATTATATTAATTTAGTAAACTTTTATACGTGTTCAATAGTGCAACACTAGATTGTTTATAAAAGCACAATTTGTGAATTTATTTTAAGATCTCATATCATAGAAAGACATTTTTTAGATATAATATGTATAGTTAAATATCTTCATTGTTAAATTCAAATTAACAAGTTAAGAAATATATCTATTGGTTGCCAAGATAATGAAATTCATTACATTTTAATGGAATTATATATTAAAATTGGATTGATTTAAAAAAAAAAAAAACTTATTGACTAGCTAGAGTTGGATACTTTGAATTATAAAATCACTTTGTATTTTACTTCTTTGAGATCATGTAAAAAAACTAACATGTGTCCAACTTTTAGTAACATATTTAAAATCAGCTAACTTAAGAATCATAAAGGCATAAACATGAAATCAATGAAATTTGTATTATGATATAAGTTGGAAATGAGACATGCCATAAGGTTAAGAAGAATATTACATATGACTGAAAATTTTCAACCAATTTCATCAACATGATTGAGTTTAAGGAAGATATATGATTAAGTAAGATATATGATTAAGCTTTTAAAAAATATGAAGAAAAACAAATTGACAATAAGTTTTTGCTAACACGGATGTGCTGAACAGAAGGCCCTAGTTTGTTTCTAACACTGGTGTGCTGAACTCAAAACCCTTTGTAAAATGATATATGATTAAGCTTTTTCATTTATAAAAGAGTTTGCTATAAAACTTTTTTCATTTATGAAAGTTTTGGAAATCTTTTTTTTTTTACAAATTAGTTAAGTTATGAACATCCAATTATTTATATAAAATAAATAGATTTAATATGTTGTTTTTATCTAATATATATATATATATATATATAATTAACTTATATTTTGCTTATATTTTGTCAATATATTTTCTTTGTTTTTGCTTAATTTTTTAATAATTATAATAGTTGTAGTCAAGAATAGTTTAGCAATAAATCTTTCTATGTACGTGTGAGTTTTATTTCATTTCCCTTTGTATATATATATAATCAAATTATATACGTACGTGTAGGAGGACCATGAAGGAGCTACATAATAGGACTAGGAAAAGAAGAAAACTATGCACCATACGTCGTAACATTGACATGCACCGTGATGTGGTCGATTGAAGCGGGGATGGAGGGAAAAAACAAAGGCTTGTAACGAGTTGCATAGGTGCAATCATCCACGTGGTCGGATTAAAGATTGCAATGCACACTGATCGTTACCCAATAATGAGTGTCATTATATTTCCGTTTGCAATGGCGAAGGCGGTTTATCCAATTGCACCGGCGGTGAGAAATAATTGTTATTACTTTTGAGAAATATATATTTTTTTAGTTGACATTAATTTGTTTAATTTATTGAGTTATCAGGTTGGAGG